CCTCCCCTCCCGCACGCTGGGCAACTCGCACGCTGGGCGCCTCCGCTCAGCTCTTCCGCTGGTGCCGCAGTCCTGCCCCGCCGCCGACGGAAAAGTGTGTGCGTGTGTGTGTGTGCTTAGCGATCGGCCGCGTGCAAAAGTGGGTGCGCAGAGAAGTGCAAGCGCAAGTGTGCGCAAGTATGTAAGTGTCTAGGCGCGTGTGCGTGTGTGCGCGGTGCGTCGTTCGTGGTGTCCCTCTGTGCCCCCCACCAGCTCCAGCCGCTGGCTGCCGCTCCCGGCCGCCCTTCCCACCGTGGTTCGCCACGGCCGCCCACCGCGCTCTGGCCCTGCGCGCCTGGCTGCCGCTGCCCCCCCAGGCTGCTCATCGTCGAACTCTTCGGCGTCGGAGCGCCTTTTCTTCCTCTCGGCCGTCCCCCCGCCCCCTCTTTGCTCGCCGGCCAATTCGCTAATTACAGTAGGGGTCTTGAAGAAGGAACCCTTTTCGTTGGGGAGGGGCTCGGTGTTCCTTGAGTATTTCACAGCTTGCCTCAGGCTTTCCTTATGTCTTCGGCAGGAAATCGAAGGCTAACTTCTGGAAAAGAGGGGCCTCGTTCCTTATTTAGGGTTCCTTAGGTCAACGCCTCGACCGTAGTGCCCCCATCTAGCTTCTCGCTGGAGCAGAGTTCGCCTCCTCGCCGCCGACGGACAAAAAAAAAACGTGTGTGCGCGCGCTTTCATGCGTGCCCGCTGCCTGCCGCCCCCTTCGCCACTGCCCCGCGGGGGACCGCCGCCTTCTCCCCCTTTTCCCACTTGCAGGAGGGGAAACAGCACAGACACAATTACTCGGCGATTCCCAGGAAAATGCTGGAAAATATGGGAGGTGGAGGGAAGACAAAAACCCATAACATAGGGGAAAATATGGGGAATCTGTTTATTTGCGTGTATTTTTGTGTGTGTGTGTGTGTGTGTGTGTGTGTGTGTGTGTGTGTGTGTGTGTGTGTGTTTGTGGGCCCCTTCACACTTGCCGGCTTTCCAGGGTCGAGCCTCTGACAGCTGCACTCAGCTCGGTTTTGACTCCTCGGGCGCCCAGGCGGAGTGCGCCCCTGCTGCGTGCGACCGAAGAGCCTTGGCCTCGCTCGGACGTGTGCATACTTTCCTCGGCGAGGCGAGCGCCAGAAAATTTGGTCCATCGAGGAGCATCTTGGATTCTCTTGCGAACGCAGAACTCGCGAAACCGAAACATGCATTGGGGATTGGAGTCCGAGCGATGGCAATAATTGTGTGTGTGTGTGTGTCTGTGTGTGTGAGTACTCAGGCGCGTCGCATCTGGAAGGCGGTGGGTCTCAGCGCCCTTGGTGTCCAGGCTGGCGACGGTGCCAGTGAGTGCCCAGGATGTGCCACTTTTGACCGGCCGATCCCCCCACTCCTCGTCCCAGTGCTCATTCATGTAACCAGGGCCATCGCTAACGTGGGTCAACAAATCCCCTTTGGCTGACCCGGGATTGGCAGCCACGTGAAGCCGATTCCCTTTTCCCCCCTCCGCTGACCCGGGTTCGGGAGATACTAAGCGGCTTGTCTGTCTTTGCCACAAGGCCCTGGCTGAACTGGGTTTGCGCTGACCCGGGTTAGTGTGTCCCGATCGTCCTCTTATTCGTCCTCTTGGTCTCGGCGATGCTACCGTTTAAGTTCATGCTGCTGGTGCTCAGAGGGTTCCGTTGGCGCTGACGCGGCTGGCGGATTGCATGGGGAATCTAAGCCTGCCCAGTCTTTACACTCTTCTGGCGGCGGCGGCGGTGCATCCCTATCTGCTTTTGCACGTCCTGCATGCGCTGGCTTCGCTTGCACACCTTTGCACGCTGATTTGCCTAGCGCAGTCCACCACCTGTACGTCTGGTGGAACTTGGCTCGAACGTGTCCCGTTTTAGCTCTCGTTGTGGTGACGGCATTCGGCCGCTGGAGGACAGTGCGTGTATGTGTGTTCTCGCCCGCCCGCTCGCTTAGCGCAGCCACCCACCCGCGACGCTGTGTTGAAATCCGTTCCGGCTCGTCAGGAGCCCATTCAGGCTCTCGCTGTGATGACGTCACTCGGCTGGTGGAGGGAAAAGTGTGTGTGTGTGCGTGTGTGCGCGCAGACGGAAGCAGGACACGTGTGGGCCAGAGTGAGAAGAGAGAGGGAGAGAGAGAGTGAGGTACAGGGTTCTTTGGAGCATGCGTGCGAGTGTAGTTGCTTCGCTTAAGTATATTCCAGAGACGAGCACGACGTTCTTGCCTCTGCATCCATACATACATACAAGCATACATGCATCCATCCATCCACTCATACATACATACCTACATTCATTCATACACCCATACATGCATACACACACCCATCCATCCATCCATCCATCCATACATTCAGACATACACGCTTATGGACATACATGCATACATACATACATACATACATCCATCCATCCATACATACATACATACATACATACACACACATGCATACACACACGCATACATACATGCATACAAACATACAAACATGCATACACACAACCATACATACATCCATACATACATATTCTCAGACGCACCTTTCCGAGGGAGTAGAGCTCAGAGGCGATTAAAGCGTACTCGCCGCGTTCGCGATGTGTTCTTGCCGTTTCGCTAGGAGCATTCTCGAAATTCTGAAAATCGGTGGCACCCCTTACACAGATCGTGACGTCAGGGTCCAAAAGCACATGGGAAATTCAACATTCTAACATAACACCTTCAACCACACAGTGTAATTTCAATAATTTTGACCCCGATTCTCAGAGAATGGCGGTTTCGACTGAGACATCCTCCCAACATCGAGCCCCGACGTACCTTCTGGTACCCCAGACCCCGCCTCGGAACCTCCTGGGGGCCTCCTGGAACATCCTGGGGCCTCCTGGGGCTTTCTGTACCCCAGACCCCGCCTCGGAGCCTCCTGGGGGTCTCCTGGAACCTCCTGGGGCCTTCTGGGGCCTCCTGCGGCCTCCTGGAGCCTCTTGGGGCCTCCTGGAGCCTCCGTGGGTCTCCTGGGGCCTCCTGAGGCCGCCTAGGGCCTCCTGGGGCCGGCTTCCCCGTCTCCATCTCCGATCCCGCCGTCATGGTGTCTTCCTGCTTCAAACGCCCTTTCAGTATTTGTTGTATGAGTCTGGACACGCACGTGCCACTTGCACACACACACATATATATATGTATATACGCACATATACATATACACATCTATATACAGTCACACACATACATTATTGCATACATACAAACACGCACATACACATACATACATACATACATACATACATACATACATACATACATACATACCGACATCCATACACACATACATACATACATACAGACATACATACACACATACATACATACATACATACATACATACATACACACATACATACATACATACATACATACATACATACCTACCTACCTACATACATACATACATACATATATACATACATACATACATACATACATACATACATACATACATGCATACATGCATACATGCATGCATGCATACATACATACATACACGCATACATACATCCAAACATACAACCATACAAACATGCAAACATACAAACATACATACATACCTGATCGCATGCATGCACACATGCATACATGCCTACATACATACACACGTGCATGCATGCATGCATGCACGCATGCATACGCACATACGTACACACATACACGCACAGATGCATATATTCACCCGAGAGCGACACACCATAGAGAGAGAGAGAGAGAGAGACACAACAACTCACAAACAATGTAAGCCTTTTTGTGTCGACAGCTGCTCGCTCTGGATCGCGGCTGCAGTGTCGCAAGCTTGAGCGCAGTGGGATACACAAGGGACGGCGGGCGTAGCAGGGCTCGGCAGGCGGACAGCGGGGAGAAGCAGCAAGCGAGAAGCAGCCGCCGCGGCAGGGAGGCAGCGGCGGCGTGGACAGGGACGGGGGGTCGGCGCGGGCACTGGCCACGGCGACAGGCATGGGCGGCAGCTCTACGTGCCTGGGAAGGCGGGGGCAGAGAAAGGTGTGTGTGTGTGCATACATCCATTTATAGAGATGTTAACTGGCACCGGTATATAGGCACATATACGCGTATGTACGGGTGCACATGCATATCCATATACATGTACACCACCCGCATAGACACATGAACCTAAGCATAGACATACACGCACATACACATACACATACACATCCACAGCCACATGCACACACACTTGCACACGTATACGTATACATGCGTACACTTACTCACACATCCACATACACACAGGCATACACCTACGGACGCACACACACATCTGCATGCACACACAGACACACACATGGATACTCACTTACACGTATACACCTATACATGCACATGCATAGTCATACACGCTTGCACATGCATGTGCATATACACATAGGTATGCATACATATATGCGCTTACGCTTTCACCTGCACATGCTATACACATCTCCACACGATTACACGTGCATACACATTTGAGCACACACACACATGCATATCCCCTTCTACGTACACACATGGGCATATACAACCATCTACACACGCATACATATCATACATCGTCACAAACGTGTACCATGCACATACACATACACATGCACACATGTATATATATATACACATACATATGCGCACACACATGTGCATACATGTGCCTGCATGCATTGTTATCTACAAATGTGTGTGTGTAGAGAGAGAGAGAGAGAGATAATGACACGTGTATACATATATATATATATATACATATATACATCGAGAGAGAGTGTGATAGAGAGAGAGGGAGAGCGAGAGAGAGAGAGAGAGAGAGATGCGGGAGCGTCGTTCGCGGAGGACCACGCTGGCAGGCGAGCAGAGGGGGCCCAAGGGCAGCGTTGAGGGCAGAGCAGAGCAGCCGGGAGGCAGCCAGGCGGGCGGGCGGGCATGGAGGGGGGCGCTGCGGCCCGGGGAGGCTGCAGCGGCAGCAGGCGTCCCTCGGCAAGAGGCCCCGGGGGGGCCCCTCCCTGCGCGGGCGGCGAGATCCTGTGCATGTCTACCGCCCCTTGCCAGGCCCAGCCCGCAGAAGAGGGCACGCTGCTGCTAAGTCGAGCACGCTCCTCTAGAAGAGGAGCGTTCAACAAAAGTCACGCAAATACTCTGGGGACGATTTTTGCATTATTCTAAAAAGTCACGCAAATACTCTGGGGAAGATTTTGTTACATATATTCTTATTTCCCGTCCAAAATCCACCTGTGGGAGGACATGGCCGACCTAAAGACACTGTGAGGGCATTGGGTAAGGAACCGCTGGACAAGGAACCCAGAGTTTGAAAGCCGGCGGACCTCCAATCGTGCACTGGCCATGGATATCGTTGCCGCCCGCATCAGAGAAGGAATCCCCCGCGGTCTGAAGCCTCCTGGGCACATTCTTTATCCAACGCCTCCGCCGTGCCTGTACTGCTACCCTTCCCATGTCGCCACGACTGGATTCGCCTCGAAATCCTGGTCAGAGCGCACCCCTGGAGAGGTCTGGGGAGCAGCGGTATCCGTACCTTTTGATCCCCCCGTTCCTGGGCCCAGGATCGGTGTGTATCTTCCTGGCCAAGCCACGGGGGGTGCGTGCACCGCTCCTTGGCCCTGGGTGGGCGGGCGGTGGACGCTTCTAGATCTCGTCGCCCTATCTGCAGCCGCCGCCGACGCGTTCCCTTCTCAGCTCTGCGCGGCCATTGAGCCCCCAGCATGCCGAGTCTTTGGCACGTCTCCCTCTCTCCCTGGGCTCCTGCGGCGCTGCTCCGTCGCGGCGCCACGTCCGCGGATCCACGGCCACAGCCACAGCCATAGCCATTACCGTAGCCACAGCCGAGGCCGTGGCCATAGCCATAGCCACAGTGTCCTCCTTCTCATGACTACTGGTGCTTCCGCCATTCCTTCTCCTGCTTCCGCTGCTCCTCATGCTCATCCCGTGCTGAGCTTTCCTCCCGCCGCGGTATGGCTGGGTGGCCAACCGCGCGGGTGGCCCGCTAGCCATCGTTCTCACGCGTCGTTCACCGACACTGCGCCTTCTGCTGCTCCCCCTGCTGCTCCTCCTGCTGCTCTTATTCCCGCTGCTGCCGCTTTGGCTCCTGCTGCTGTTCCTATTGCTCCTTCCCCCCTCCTCCGCCTGCTGCTCACGCTTCGTTCTTTTCTCGACGGCATTCCTCAGGCTCCCATGGGACCGGGAAGACCTGGCAGTCGCCCATTTCTCCTGTTCCCATTTCCTGGAGGTGGAGCAGGGAGGAGGATGAGAATCATGATGATGAGGAGGAGGAAAAGAAAGGATGAAGGAGAAACGAGAAAGTCGGAATAATAATACATGAAACACGCTTCTTGTGTTGAGTGTGTGCATCTATGTATATACAAACTCGTGTGTGTGTGTGTCTGTGTGTAGAATTTCTGCATTTTTGCGGGCTTGAAGATGATATCGCGGATTGTGGGGGCCTGTGGGAGGAGGAGGAGGAGGAGGAGGAGGAGGAGGCGGAGGCGGATGAGGATAGGGAGGAGGAGGAGGAAGAGGAGGACAACGATGCGTATCAGAGTATATCCGCTCTGCATCACCGACTCTGCGATACGCCCGCGTGCCCCAAGTCCATTCTTTTGATTCACCTCTCTACAGGGATTCTTTTCACGGCGAGAAGTGTCACATTGAAGTAGTTACAGGGGCCCCATGGTCCTGCAATTTTGGCAGCAGCCCTGGTGCCAACAGGGCTTCCATGTCTCTAGCTAGAAGGACACGAGGTAGGACTATAAAGCCCAACGACGGGTCTTGCGAGAGCCTTGCTTCGAAACACCGCCCTGAGTTCGTTCACATATGTTCCAAGTTCAAGGGGCCGGTTTAGAATTCTAAGGGAGCCTCGAACGAGAGCCCCGACTTGAAGTGGATCCACTTCCAGCAGTTTTGCACAGTTTTGATTGCGAAGGCCTTACGACCGATGCCGCCGACCCTGAAGACAATGATTACGAGGACGAGAAAGACGACGTGGAGGGACAGGGGGACGGACGTGGAGGAACTGGTGGAGCAGCAAGAGGAGGAGCAAGATGCGAAGGAGGATGAGGAGGGCGAGAAAGAGCAGGGGGAAATTTGGGTGGGGGGATGCAGCAGTAGGATGAAGAGTTCAAGCAGTTGAAGGAGAAGGAGGAGTACGCGGAGGAGGGAGGAGGAGTGGCTGAAGGAGGAGGATGGGTATGGGGATGTTGCGGTGAAGATTTGTTTTCGGCGCTTGGGTGTAAGATCACGCGGCACAAGAGGGTGAGCAGGAAGAAGAAATGGATGAGGACAATGATCATGGTAAGCACCAGCATGCGAAAGAGCGGGATGCGGAAGAGGAGAAGTGGTGGAGGGGGAAGAGCGGGAGCGTCAGGAGGACGATGACGTGGGTGCTCGGAAACATGAGAGGTGAGGAGCAGGAATGTGCGGAGGCGGATGGGCGGGAGGCGGGACAGGAGGGAATCGGGGCAGGACAATGGTCAGTGGAAGAACGGTGAAGACGGGGCGGAAAGATAGGAGGACGGTGAGGGGGTATTTGAAGTATGAACTGACGCATTCCGTTAGAGGAATCGGTTGGCCGGCGGACTCGGGGTGGGGTGTGGGGATTCGGTGGCAGAGGGTAGTTGCTTCGCCTACGGCACCTTGTGTCCCCGCAGAGGGTCTGGCGGACTCCTCTCTCCTCCTCCCCCGCCTGTCCTCCTCCTCTTCCTTCTGCTCCTCCTCCGCCTCCTCCTCCTCCTCCTCCTCCTCCTAGTCGACGTTGAAGGCTCGGAGTTCCCTTCCGACCGAGCCAAGTGCGCGAGCGCACCGCCGACTCCAGGGCACCTCCAGAAAGTTCGATTAAGAAGGCCAGGGGGGGGGGGCGAGCCCGCCGCGGCGCCATGGCATGTACGACGCCTTCCCACTGATGCGTATTACGACGTACAACCCATACGCAGCAAGTGGCGGTGAAATATTGGAGTTCATCAGTGTATAATTCAGGGAGTGGGATCTAGTAATTTTGAGTGGGGCACGCGAATCGGCGGGAGATGAACCGCGCAGGAGACCTACCAAACACACCACTGGGCCAAACGTTTCGGAGGAAGGAAGGGCACGTGTGTTGCTAGATGATGTGGAGTACATATATGGGTAACGAAACGAATACGCCAAAAACCCCTACACAGCATTATGCACCCTCCTAGCAACATACAGGGAAGGGCGGCTGGAATTAGGTTGCAGACTCAGGAGATTAATATTGTGCTTTCTGCATCATATTAAGCCCCCGCGCACTTTGCGAATTATGGGCGCACTTGTTCCCGAGTTACAAATTTGTTGATTGAGCGGGGGGAATGACAAATTAGGATGCCAGTCGGCACCCATAATGGCAGGGGACATGAACGCGGACTTCGGACTGCGCAGGGACTCGGACGGGATAGCGTAGCCGAGCGCAGGTAGACATGCTGGGTCGGTTGCGCCAAAGATTGAAAGCGAGAGCGGTCCAGAAATCATATCGTTCTGCGAGCGAAACGGAATGTGCGTTGCTACTACGTTTACCGACAGGCGCGACGTACTACGGACCGCAGGGGGATGAACACCGCATCGACTTCTTTATCTTCCCCACGGGTGCCCTGCAGCTGGTCGATCGCTGCCAGACCCTTCGGTGCTCTGCCAGGGGGCTGCAGCTCATCAAGAGCAAGTGGCGCAGAGATCACCCGCCTGTTTCTCTCACCCTCCCCCTCTCCCTCGCCCGCGCCCTTCCCATCCGCGCTAGACGTCGCGCAGACTAGAGCGTCAGTGGAGACGCGCTGATGAACTGCTTGCGGGGAAGCAAGGGGTGGCTGGAGTTTTTTTTCAGCATTTGGAGGAGGAGATTGAGAGGATCGGGCAGGAAGAATGGGAAGCAGCGCGGCATAATTCTACTCCAGACCATGCGTGAAAGTTCTACGGAAAGGCCACGAGGACGGCGATGACATGATCGTTCGGAGACCATCCTGCCGCGTTAGACGAGGATGGCCAGGCGGCACGGGCTAAGAGAGTGGAGCTGCTGGCCAAAAGAAGGGCCTGCGACTGCGTCAGGGATGCGGAAAGAGCTAACACTGGTGACGGCCCTACGCAAGAGGTTTAGCGAGGAACATTTCGGGGAGCACCGCTGGGTGTGCCCGCGGCGCTGGGGCGGCGAGAAAAAGCTTCAGGGGGGCAGCTGCCGTTGCCACTCGACGGGGACATCTGACACGCGGTAGAAAATGACGCGGGTGCGATGGAAACAGATTGTAGAAAGGCAAAGAGGCGTCGGGCCTGGCCCGCCGGGGGGTCGCCGATCGAATGCGCCGGGGTGCTTCTTGAGCCCGGAGGGCCCGACCCAAGCCAGCGAAATAATAGAAAAGCGAGCCATGGCCAGATCCGAAAGGGCAACGACGAAGTACTGGCCAAGTACGCGACAGTTCAAGTTCAAGAAGGGGCGGGGAGCTATCCATGGGGCCACCAAGCGTGTGAGGGGTGTGCCGAAATGGGTCCGGCGGGCGCATGCGATCGCAGCCGCTGGGGCCTTCGGTGGAGCTCCCTATTGGGCCACGAAGCGTGTGAGGGGTGTGCCAAAATTGGTGCGGCGGGCGCATGCGAGAGCAGCCACTGGGGCCTTCGATGGAGCTCTTCATAGGGGCACGAAGCGTGTAATTGGTGTGCCAGAATGTGTGCGGCGAGCGCGTGCGAGCGCAGCTACTGGGGCCATTGGGGCCTTCGACGGGGCTACCTATGGGGCCACGAAGCGTGTAAGGGGTGTGCCGAAATGGGTGCGGCGGGGGGCCTTCGTTGGAGCCCCCTATGGGGCCCCAAAACCGAAGGCCCCCAAACCTGCGCTCGCACGCGCTCCCAACGAAGCCACGAAGCGTGTAAGCGGCGGGCGCATGCGAGCGCAGCAGCTGGGGCCGTCGGTGGAGCTGGAGCTCCCCATGGGGACACGCAGCGTGTGAGGGGTGTGCCGAAATTGGTGCGGCGGGCGCATGCGAGAATAGGCACTGAGGCCTCCAGTGGAACTCCCTATGAGGCCACGAAGCGTACGAGGTGTGTGCCGAACTGGGTGCGGCAGGGGGCCTTCGGTAGAGCCCCCTATGGGGCCACGAAGCGTGTGAGAGATGTGCCAGAATTGGTGCGGCGGGCGTATGCGAGCGCAGCCACTGGGGCCTTCGGTGGAGCTCCCTATGGGGCCACGAAACGTGTGAGGGGTGTGCATTCGATCGCAGCCACTCAGGGCCTTCGGTGGGGACCCTTATGGGGCCACGAAACGTGTGAGGGGTATGTGGAAATGTGTGCGGCGGGCGCATGCGAGCGCAGCCGCTGGGGCCTTCGGAAGGGCTCTATGGGGCCACAACGTGCGATGGGTGTGCCGAAATGGTTACGGCAGGCTCATGCGATCGCAGCCACTTGGGCCTTCTGTGAAGCTCCCCATGAGGCCACGAAACGTGTATCTGGTGTGTGGAACTGGATGCGGCGGGCGCATGCGAGCGCAGCCACTGGGGCCTTCGGTGGAGCGCTTTGTGGGGCAACGTGACGTGTGAGGGGTTTGCCGAAATGGGGCTCCACCGAAGGTTCCAGTGGCTGCGTTCGCCTGCGCCCGCTGGGCTCATTTCGGCACGCTCTCGCACGCTTCGTGGCCCCGTATGGAGCTCCACCGAAGGCCCCAAAACCTGCGCTCGCACGCGCTCCCAACGAAGCCACGAAGCGTGTAAGCGGCGGGCGCATGCGAGCGCAGCAGCTGGGGCCTTCGGTGGAGCTGGAGCTCCCCATGGGGACACGCAGCGTGTGAGGGGTGTGCCGAAATTGGTGCGGCGGGCGCATGCGAGAGTAGGCACTGAGGCCTCCAGTGGAACTCCCTATGAGGCCACGAAGCGTGCGAGGTGTGTGCCGAACTGGGTGCGGCGGGGGGCCTTCGGTAGAGCCCCCTATGGGGCCACGAAGCGTGTGAGAGATGTGCCAGAATTGGTGCGGCGGGCGCATGCGAGCGCAACCACTGGGGCCTTCGGTGGAGCTTCCAATGGGGCCACGAAACGTGTGAGGGGTGTGCATGCGAGCGCAGCCGCTGGGGCTTTCGGTGGGGCCCCCTTCTGGGGCCACGAAACATGTGAGGGGTGTGCCGACATGGGTCCGACGGGCGCATGCGAGCGCAGCAGCTGGGGCCTTCGGTGGAGCTCTCTGTGGGGCCACGAGACGTGTGAGGGGTGTGCCGATGTTGGTGCGACCTTCGGTGGAGCTCCTTCTTGGGCCACGAAGCGTGTGTGGGGTGTGCCGAAGTGTGCTCGGCGGGCGCATTAGGGGTCTTCGGTGGAGCTCCGTATTGGGGCCACGCGGCGTGTGAGTTGTGTGTCGAAATGGATGCGGCGGGCGCATGCGAGCGCAGCCACTGGGGCCTTCGGTGGAGCTCTTTGTGGGGCCACGAGGCACGTGAGGGGTGTGCCGACATGGCTGACAGGCGTGGAGGGCAGATGGGAGGATGGGGAGGCGAGAGGAGGGCGAGGGGTAAGGAAGGAAGGAAGGAAGGATTGCGGGGCGCTGTCTCTTCAATGCAAGGACGGCTGGGAAGAAGAAGGACGGTCGGGAATCAAGTCGAAGAGGAAGCGTCGAAAGCGCCTCGGGCGCCTCCGGCGGCCCCGCACTGGCGCGCTCCGCTCGCCAGGGAGGTGGATGGGTCCAGCGCAGATCCACAACATCTGTCAGGAGGACAGAAACCACACAGACACAATGAATCGACGATTCCCCAGGAACCATGGGAAAATATGTGCAGTGGGGGGGAAGACAGAAACCCAACAAATATGGGAAACAATTGGGAATACTTGTATTCGTGTGTATTTATTTGTGTGTCCTGGGACCCCTTCAATCTGCGCGGACCTCCGAGAGTTGAAGTGTAACTACAGGCGGGGCGCTGAAGAAGGAACCCTATTCGCTGTGCAGGGGCTCGGTGTTCCTTGATTATTTTACAGTCTGCCTTAGGTCGTCCTGGAGTTTTCCATGGGAAATCGAAGTCCAACTTATTGGAAAAAGGAGCCTCGTTCCTTATTTAAGGTTCCTTCTGTCAACGCCCCGACGGTATGTTTTTCCCTGGATGTTTATAAATGGGCACGACGACCCACAGCAGGTCCTGCCGATTCTTACAGTCGGAAGCTTTTGGGTAGCGTGTCGCTCCCCTGGCTCTGGCCCACCGCGCTTCGGCGCGGCCCGCTGTCCACTTCCCAGCCCCCAGGCTTCAACGTCCTGAGCCTTTCCGATCCTCCCGCCCCGCGGAGCGTAGCGGCACGCTATCCGCTCGCAAGGCATAGCGTGTGGCCGGGGCCGCCGCCGCTATGCAAAAGTTCCCGATCACAACGTTTACGATTTGTCCTTGACCTGCGTAAATGGGCAAGAAAAGCCACAGCAGTTCCTTCCCATTTTGAACAGCACTCGCTGTCGTCGTCACCGCGGGACGCTGCCCGTTTGACACTGGAGTTTGTCTGCCTAACAGCGTCCTTTGTTTGTATAAGGCAGCATGCGAGCGACGGAAGAAACTGAGTCAACTGCGCGGACATTCGCGCGTGAGCTGCCCGCGTAAGGTCGCACGTAAGAGCCTTCGTTTCCGATGTAGCTTACCGCGCTGGTGGCCCGCGTGGGCCAGCGCGTAAGGTCGCTATGCCATCTCCCCTATGACTTGTTTCTTTGGGTCTCTCATGTGTTGTCGGGCACAGTGCCAATTTTCACCGTACCCATTTCGGGCGTGCCAAGAAATACGGTCGACGGGTGTCGCACCAACAGCATCGATGGTGGCGCGATCCGACCAATGATCGATCGACGACTCCGACGCCGCCAACGACGCCGCCAACAGCGGCCGCTGCCGCCGACGACGACGACGACCACGACGACGACAACGACGACGACGACGACCACGACCACGGCGACCACGACGACCACGGTGACCACGACGACCGCGACGACGAACGACGAACGACGACGAATGACGAACGGGACGACGAACGGGACGACGAACGACGAACGACGAACGACGACGATGCCGACGCCGATGCCGAGGCCGCTGACGACGACGGGCGCGCGGCGCGCCGCGTCGCGCGGCGCAGGGTGGAGGAGCTCAGCGGCCGAGGGGCGAAGGGCGGGGCCAAGGACGAGCGCACGGCGACCCCGGTTCGCTGCCAGCCCCTGGCCTTTTCCACCTCCTCCGCCTCCTCCTGCCCCTCCTACTCCCGCCCCTTCCCGCCTCCTCCTCCTCCTCCTCCTCTTTCCTCCTCTTTCGTCCTCTTTCCTCCTCCTCCTCATTCCTCCTCCTCCTCCCGCCTCCTCCTCCTCCTGCCGCCTCCTCCTCCTCTTTACTCCTCCTCTCTCCTCCTCCTCCTCCTCCTCTCCTCCCCTCCTCCTCCCTTTTCTCCTCCTCCTCCCCCCCCCCCCGTTCCTCCTGCTCTCCTCGCGCTCCTTCTGCTCCTCCTCCGCCTCCTCCTTTCCTCCTCTCCTCCTCCTCCTCCTGCCCCTCTCCCCCTCCTCCCCCTCCTTCTCCCCTCCGCCTCCTCTCCTCCTCCTCCTCCTCCTCCTCCTCCTCCCGCCTCCTCCGCCTCCTCCTCCTCCTCTTTCTCCTCCTCCTCCTTCTCCTCCTTCTCCTCCTCCTCCTTCTCCTCCCGCCTCCTCCCTTCTCTTGCATCCTCATCCTTCCCCTCCCCCGGTGGTCAGGAGGCGGCCTGACTGCATCGGAGTCGACGAATCGAGGTTGCGGGGCTCGGGGATAGGATTCGTTGACTTGTTTGGTTCTCTGGAGCCCTTCGCTTCGGAGACGTCTCGAGGCCTCCGCGGAGGCCCTGCAGAGACATCCGGGGGGCTTCTCAGGGGCCTCTGGAGATCTCTGGAGGTCCCCCTGCTCCGGAGAGCAGGGCGATGCAGCTTCGTTCAGTATCGGGCCAACGTTCCTTCCTTGCGCAGGCTCGTCTGAGCATAACTGACTCCTGTTGGAATTCAAGCAGATGGGATGTGGGATCATGGTCCAATTCGCCCCGTTCCCCCCCCCTGCGTCTCTTCCTCTCTTCCTCCCCTCTGGGAAGGGAGGAAGGGAGGAAGCGACGGGGAAAGGAGAGGAAGGGAGGAAGGGCGGAATAGGCGGGGAAAGAAGAGAAGGGAGGAAGGGAGGGAGGGAAGAACAGAGAGGACGTTCCTCTCCCTTCCTTGCTTTTTCCCTCCTCCTCCTCCTCCTCCTCCTCCTCCTCCTCCTCCTCCTCCTCCTCCTCCTCCCACGCGCTCTCGCCCCTCCTTGCCCTCCTTCCTCCCTGCTCATATCCTTGCGCCATTTCTCTCCTTCTCCTCCGTCCGCTTTCTTACCACAGTCAGTCTTATGTTTTTTCTTACCGTTGATATTGTAGTGGCCTTCGGCCAGTGCCGCCGATCCGGGGCGCTCCTGATGTTATCGGGAATGGACGGTGACGACGCCAACGGACGACCAACGATCGACGAGCGGGATAGTTACGACGACGACTGACGAACGGGGTAACGACGACGACAAACGACGACGACGCCGACGAGGACGACCACGACGACTAACACGAACACGAACACGAACACGAACCGACGGCGACGACGACGACGACGATGACGACGACGGCAACGATCACGACTCGTGTCCGAGCAATGCCAAGTCACACCATGCACCTCTTGCCTGGCAGCTCGCGAGTGAGCGCCTCTTGGGGCCTCTTGGCTCTTGGGGGCTTCGGGGGCTTCTTGGGGTTTTCTTGGGGGACTCTTGGAGATCTGGGGCTCTGGTGGCATTATCTAATGGCCTTCGGCCCAGCCCGTACCGTGCCTGGGTTGTGTGTGTGTGGGACATATGCCTCTTGGGTGTAGTTTTGAAGCCTCTGGGGCGCCGTTTGGATGCCTCTTGGGGCGTCTTGGGGGCCACTTGGGGGCCACTTGGGCGCTCTTGGGTGCCTCTTGCTTGGGGGGGCGTCGTGGGGGCATCTTGGGGCGGAAGGCTCGAATTATCGATTCGGGCTCGGATGTCGAATTATCGAAGAGCGCATTCTGTGGTCGCTTGGAGGGGGGGGGTGGGTTGGAACCGAACCCCCCCCACCCCGCCCCTTGGATGGAGGGAGGAGGGTTCGACCCCCCCCCCCATCCTCCCCTACTTTTCCTCCCTCCCTCTCCTCGGGCCAGCACCGGCGTCGGCGGCTGGCGGCGGCGGCGGAGGTGGTGGTGGTGGTAGTGGCGGTGGTGGCGGTGGTGGTGAGGTGGTTTGCGGTGGTTGTGGTGGTGGTGGTGGTGGGTTGTGCTGCTGGTAGTAGTGGTGGTGGTTGTGGCGGTGGTGGTGGTGGTGGTGCGGTAGATTGTGGTGATGGTGGTGGTAGTTGTGGTGAGTTGTTGTAGGTATTGGTGGTTGGTGGTGGTGAGCTGTTCTGGTGGTGGTGTTGGTGGTGGCTGTGGTGGTGGTGGTTGTGTGGTGGTTTGGTGGTGGTGGTGGTGATGGTGGTGGTGGTGGGTTGAGGTGGTGATGGTGGTGGTCGTGGTGGTGGCGGTGGTGGTGGCGTGGTGGTTTGTGGTGGTGGTGGGCTGTGGTGTTGGTGGTGGTGGTGCTGCTGCTGGTAGTGGTGCTGGTGCTGGTGGTGGGTGGTGGGTGGTGGGTGGTGGGTGGTGGTGGTGGTGGTGGTGGTTAGTGGTGGTGTGGTTGTTTGTGGTGGTGGTGGTGGTGGTGGGTTGTGGTGATGGTGGTGGTTGTGGCGGTCGTGGTGATGGTGGTGGTGATGGTGTGGTGGTTTGTGGTGGTAGTGGTTGTGGTGGGTTGTGGTGGGTTGTGGTGGTTGTGGTAGTGGTGGCGTTTTTGGTGGTGGTGGTGGTGGTGGTGAGATGGTTTGTGGTGATGGTGGTGGTTGTGGTGATGGTGGGTTGTGGTGGTTGTGGTGGTGGTTTGTGGTGGTGGTGGTAGTGGTGGTGGTGGTATGGTGGTCTGTGGTGGCGATGGTGGTGGTGGTGGTGGTGGTGTGGCCTTCGGCTCTTCCCGCCATTGTGTTTTGGCAAAGGGTCAGAGTTCTGATGGATGCCTCTTGAGGTCTCGTCAGAAGGGTCTCGGGGGCGTCTGAGGAGCATGCGAGGGCTCGATATGGCGATTTGTGTGTTCCCTCTGCGGTCTCTGGGCCATCTCTGGTCATCGTCGTTGCGTCCCCGCCGTCGGCGCTGCTGGCCGCCGCTAGCGCAGGCGCCGGCGCCAGCGCGGGGGTGGGGGGAGGGGTTTGAACCCCCCCCATTGGCCCTCTCTGGTCATCGTCGCTGCGTTGGCGCTGCGGCGGCCGCCAGCGCCGGCGCCGGCGGCGCCGGGGGGGGTTTTGCACCCCCCCCCCTTCCTTGGGAGGGGGATGGGGGGGGTCGGGAGGGGGGGTGGAGGGGAGTCCCCCTGGTTCTGATCGACGGCGCCAAGTTTTTTTGTTGGGGGGCCCACCCCCCAGTTCGAAACGCGCCGCCGAATGTTCCCAAGGCAAGCGCCCGTGAAACGCGCTCTCGCAGAGCTGAAGCTCAGGTTGTGGCTGTGGCTGAGGCTTTTTAAACCTCGCACGCCGGATCGGCGGATTCGCATACTTTTCATCATTCATATAAAGTGAGCGGCTTGAATAAAGAGCACTTGGTTTTCAAAAGGGACTCGGTCGTTCCTTAGGTTTGCGTGCGGTGTTTATCCTTCCTTATGCGTCATTTCTGATATATCGTCCCTTATGCGTTATTCCTTGGTCTTTTTAAACGAGATTCGTTTCTTATTTATCGTTCCTTAGGTCAGGCCGATGACTGTAATTCTGCTCACTCGTCTGGTTCTTCCTTATTCGAAAAACCACATAAACACACACTTTTGGCGCTCCGCGCGAATTTCAAGGATCCGCGCCTGGGCCCCCTGGCGGTGCCTCCGGCGCCGCCCCAGGGAGGGGGGTCCAGCGCGAATCCAAGAAATCCGCGCGGAGCGCCAAAAATTTGTCTTCGTGTGGTTTCCTTTTCTTCTATTGTCTCAATACGTCTTTAGCTTCAATATGCTTTTTTTTTTCTCTCTCTCTCTCTCTCTCTCTCTTTTTTTTTTTTTCTCTCTCTCTCTCTCTCTATATATATATATATTCAGTCTCACTATGTTTTTTAGTCTCACTATGTTTTTAGTCTCAATATATGTTTTCAGTATATGTGTCTTTTCCTTCCATGATCTCGATCTGTTTTTGGGTCTCCCGAACTTCGCATCCTGACCCGGTGCCTGCCGCAGGCCCCGCGCCGGGGCGGCAGCGAGGCGCAGAGGAGGCCGAGCGGCATGCGCGCGTGGAGGCTTCTCCGGGGGCCTCTTGAGGGCTTCTCGGGAGCCTTGGTATCGGGGGCGGCAAAGATGACGAACGAGCAACACACACCCATACCCACAGGGGGGTCGTTGGGAGGAGGACTTGCTATGGGTATGGGTGCGGGTTGTCGGACCCTGGGGAGCGCTCCCGTTCGAGCGGGGACCCCCATCCGACAACACGCACCCATAGCCCTCTCCGATCCCCCTATGGGTATGGGTGTGTGTTGTTGGTTCGTCAAAAGAGGGGGGTCGAGGCTCCGTGGGGCTCGGGGCTGGCGAGCTCGGCATAGGCTGGGCTGGCAAAGGGCTCAGGCCGCGGGTGCGGCGGGCGGGCCGAGCGGCCGCGGCGGCCTTTCGAGGAGGCCCGAGTGCGGGCCTGTTGGCGGAATCCGCTGCAGGTTTGTGGGGGTGAAAAGAGCCTTGCATCGTCGCAGGCCCAGAGGTTGACACCAACACCAAGATTGGCGGCGTGCCTCCACAGAGGGATGAAGATCCCAATCTCGGTGATGGTGGTAATATTCTGGCTTCCAAGGTGACCGAAATATTACCACCAATACCGAAATCTAGGATCATCGTCCTCCTGTGGAGGCAACCCCCTGTTTTGGTGTTGGTGCCCATTTCCAGTCCTCCAATGTCGGGGGCGACAAAGAGGGGGGTGATGACTAGGGGGGGGGGGATATCATGGCGGGGGCCCTGATATCTCCCCCGATTTCACGGCGCCTCTTCGTATTTCATTACGTCCCCGGCCCCCCCGCTGGGCCGCGCACGTGCCGCCGGTCATGATTTGCACCCCCCCCCTCTTGGACCCCCCCCTCTTGGCCGCTCCCGATTCTCGAGAGCCTTTCAGTCTTAAGTCGGGCCTGTCCCTCTACAGGGGGAATAGTCAGAAACAGTCGAAAAAAACAGTATGGGGGCTTGTTTGAGTATTTTTTTTTTAATTTTGGAATATTTTGGTTTATTAATATTTCGTCGAAATCCTCCTGTAGGGGGACGCGCCCGACTTAATTTTAGCCTTAAGTTATGATGTTCCAACCTACTCCAGCCTTGGCCACCAGAAAGAATCTCGAGTCCCAAAAAAGTGCCGAAACTGAAGGGTTTTCACGTGGTCGGGCCCTGGGAGACTCGTCCGACACTGTTTCGACACTCTTTCGACACTTTTCCGGGTGCTCGAAATTATTTCTGGGATGCGGTCTTCAAGTACGGTGGGAGCAATATAAGTTTTAAGTCGGGCCTGTCCCTCTACAGGAGGAATATTCAAAAGTAGTTAAACAATAATCTGGTGACGATTTGTTCGACTATCTTTGACCATCGGTGAGCATTTTTTCTTTGTTTTTATTTTTCGTCCAGAATCCCTCTGTAGGGGGACGTGCCCGACCTAAAGCTTCCCTGGGGCCTCTTGAGGGCTTCTCGAGACCATTTTAGCCGGAGGTTGATAGCCCTCCTACCCTGACGCGTCGATTCGCAAATTGGCCGTTTTCGGTTCGCGAGAGGGCGTCGCGGTCGTCACTTTTGCGGGTCCAGGTCCGTCGTTTTCGGTCCCAGGCCGTTTTCACTAAAGGGTGGTTCACTAAAGGGAGGCTTGTCCACCGCCGATTTAGATCTGTTTGGGACACCCCTCTTGGGGGCCTTCTCGGGGACTTCTTGGGCCGTCTTGGGAGCATCTTGGGCCGTCTTGGGGACCTCTTAGGCCGCCTTGGGGGCTTGTTGGGTCGTCGTGCCGCCCTTTTGGAATCCAGTGGGGCTTTCTTGGATCTCTCGTTGGGATCTTTTGAGCCGCCTTGGGCTTTCGGAAATCGACGGCGTCATGCTAAACTTTCTCAAAGGCCGGCGGAAAACATGCATGTTGTTCTCGAGGGCGCCTTGGGCGTCTTTGTGGAGCCATCATGTAGACTTTCACGAAGACGTCGTTGAAGATGCTGCCTGCTGGAGGGCCATATGTGCAACACTGAGACAGCGGGGAAATGCAGCCCCTACTCGGACTGGTTTGGGTCCACGCCAGCAGTTGAAGAGATTTGACCAACTGCCTAGGGAGTCCGCACGCCAGGGCTCGATCGCGAAGCCTACCTACATCGAACGACGTGTAAAGCTGGTGGACATCCCACGAACATCCCGCGGTGGCGCGGCTCTCGACGACTCCCTTCGGTCCGAACGGCAGCCGTCCAGACGACATCGTCCGCTTCGCGGCGCTTTCCGAGCAACCAGTACGTGTGATTCGGCGAGTCGATGAAAAGGGTCAACTTCGGGCTGGCGTGCGCGCTCCCACACTCGAACGGATGATGCCACAAGAAGTGTCAGTTGGTATCTCCCCTGCGGCTTCTCGAGGAGAGGGAACATAAGCCAGATCCGCTGTGCTGGAAATATGCCCAGTCGCTCAGAGCACGAGAACAGCGCGCTCAGCTGCTCCAGATCCTCGTCGCTCAGCATGCGCACGTGACGCGGATGGAAGCATTCGAGGCTCTGATCAGTGTGCACCGACATCGAAACCTAGACAGATTTCAAAAAGGCAATATTTGGAGGCGTAAGATACTCGCGATGGGGGATCCTTGCTTTGCGCGGCTCCACGCTCGCGTGTCAGAAACTATTCAATTGCAGAGTATCCTGTTTAACTAGAGCAGACGGTTCGGCAGCGTAGCGGCCTGGCACGACGCTGGTGACTGTCGACCGCAACAGCTTCTTGATCGGGGCAAGGCGGTGCGTGCGCCTGGCCGGGCCGCTGAGCGCAGAGAGCTGCCACTCGTGCAGCGGCGCGTCCCGCATCTGGGTGAGTCCAGCCTGCACCTCCACACATCCATCAGACAACTCTGCGTGTGAAGTGTGCAGCCCCTGTATCCTCGAGGGACGCCATGGGGCCAGCGGAGACCAGGAGGGCATCCGCGGGGGCGAGCGATCGATCGAGCCGGACGCGGGCCCTCACCAGCATTGGGGGGGCGCTTGGCCAGGAGGTAGCCGTGCGCACGTACGGGAAGACCGTTCCCCCCGATGAGATACGCAGACCTCCAGAGACTCGGGAAGATCGTTCAGGAGTTCTGTCGCCCTCGTTCGCGTCTGGATGCCTTTGCATGCGCCAGGGGTCGGGGGCTCAAGGGCCGGAGACTTGACCAGATCAGGTCGCCAGATGTCTAGGACGGTCGTTCTCCCTAGACAGGTTTTACCAGAGGGCTTCTGGCTTTTGCTGTGTAAGAGGGCCAGAGGCAATCGTATCCCGAAGCCAGGTTCCTTGAGGACACCTCCTCGGTGTCTCGGGAAGCCCTCCCCCGTTCCTCGGAGACTCCTTCCTGACAGGCAACGCATTGCAATCAAATGTAAATGCAGTGCAACGCGCATCAATGCAAAACGGCGCAACTAGACGCAGTTAACATTATTAACATAATTGCAATCCAACGTCGTGCAATCCAGATCAGTTACATGCCACGCATGCGAAACAAGTTGCAGCAAGCCGACGGCATGTACAAGCAAGCAACGTTCGAGCACAGCAAATACCGCCAGTTCGGTGTCAAGTAATAAATCAAATCGCAGCACTGTAATGCAATGCGAGGCAGTTCCAAGCAATGCAGACCAAGGCAAAGCAGTGCAAACTAAATGACACACCTCACTGCAATGCAACGTATTGAACCCCATCACTCCGCACTGCACTGCACTGAAAAGCAACGCAACCAAACGAAGCGGTAGGGAAGCAATGCAAAGTGAAGCAACATTCGGCCATACCAATGACAATGTGTTCCCGTTGCCTTTGTCTTGGGCCCAGTTTATCTGTACGTAGTCTGGTATTGTGAAGGCCTTACGGCCGGTGCCGCCGACCCTGAAGGTTTTGGCCGTCGATGGCGACGGGTTGTGCGATCACAGGAAGGAGCTAAAGGACAACGTGACAGGGTAGGCTGAGGAAGAGTGTGAGGAGGAGGAGGAGGAGGAGGAGGAGGAGGAGGAGGAGGAGGAGGAGGAGGAGGAGGGGGAGACAAACGAAAAGGAGATGGAGAAGGTGGCAAAAGACGCTCAGGAGGAGGAGGAGGAGGGAGGTGGTATTCTGACCCGGGACCCCCCCCAGGACCCCGCCCCGGGACCCCCCCCAGGACCCCACCCGGGCTTCCCCCGGGACCCCCCCCCGGCCGGGGGAGGGAACAAATGGAAGGGGAAACCCTTCGAGTCAGTTTACTTCACGCAGGAGGAAAGGATGAAGGAGGAGGAGGAGGAGGAGAAGGAGGAGGAGAAGGAGGAGGAGGAGGAGGAGGGGGAGTCGAACGAGAAGGAGACGGAGAAGGTGGGCAAGGAAAGGAGGCACGGACGAGAAGAACAACCCATTCACACGCCGACAGGGTCGGCGGATTTTGATATGACTACAGCCTGGTAGGTATGGTCTTCTTAGCTTTCCACTTCAGTCAATGTCGCATTCCTCATGGCGGCCTTGTCTGGTGCAAGTCTGGCAGGGCCTCTGGGCTTCAGGAACACGTTTCTTTCGCGCTACATGGCCTTTTATAAGATATCGGACCAGGTAATGCTGCACGCACGTACTTTCTTTCATCTTGCGAAGTTGACGATACGCACGTGCTTTCTTTCACATTGGGAAGTTGACGACACGCGCGTACTTCCTTTCACCTTGCGAAGTTAACGAGAGAAGCTGGGGAGGTTTATGGCCGTGCTTTTTTCAGAAGGTTTGAGCTGCACCCCAGTCGTACCCCATCGATTGTTTCCAACGCAGGTGACCATGGTGACCGACTCCACCGATGCCCCCAGAGAGGATCCGCCGCGTCTTCTTCTTTGCATCGCCTCGGTGTTTTTAGTTCACGGTCTGTCCACCTCAAGACAATGACACATCTCAACAAGCAGCTTGGGTGCGTGTGGGTGCCCCTTGGTGGCTCCTGCGAGCACGGAGGTGCTTCGCGGTCAAATCAGGCGGACAGCAGTTCCTAGTGTTTGTGCCAGCGTTCTCGGCATGTGCGGGCGAGCTGCGCAGCCAGGCAGTGTTCTGTTTGTTCACTCGGTGTTCGATCGTCTGCATGGATTTTCGCTTCTCAGTTAGCTCATGGGTTCAACAGTGGGCACACGGAGGCAGTTTTCGATCACAATTTCGACGAACAACGACGACGACGAAGAACGACGACGACGATGACGACGGCGACGACGACGACAGTGGCGACGGTCGACGAACGACAAACGACGAACGACGAACGTCGAATCACGAAGGACGAACGACGAACGACGAGCGACGTAGTGGGAATCGAGCGGATTTGGGCCAGGCGGCAGAGGTGCCGTTGTCTCGGCGGGCCCTGTTCCGAGGACAGGCCTCCGATCCCTTCGCCGGGACGAGGCGTGGGGGCTTGGTCGCAGTGCGGGGACGAGGCCTCCTTGATCAGTCGTTGACGCTGGCGATGGTTCAGGGACTGGGTACGTGGCGTGATGTCCGACCTCCGGGGTCAGTTTCCACGGCGATCGCGGCGACCACACATCGGGGCAAGGTCTTTGTCAAGGAGCCAAGGAGTGGCATGCCCTTTCCCGGAGCTCCCACACGCTCTGCGACCGAGACGTGGCTCAGAAAGAACCATACGGCGACAGAGAGTTGCCAGTTGTCAGTTGATGTTGAACATGGGCAGTCCGTTTTTTTGCTCAGGGGCTGATTATCACGCAACCAAGGGTGGAAGCTGGCGCCACTGGGCGCGTGCCCCAGAGGTCCATGGAGGTGTCTGAAGGTCCTGGGAGGCTTGCAGAGGCCTCCTGAGAACCAGGGGAGGCCACAGGGTGACCAAACACTTGGCTCCTCGACCGTACCCCTCCTCTCCCTCCTTCTCCTCCTCCCCCTCCTCGTCATTCTCCTCCTTCTCCACCGCCTCCTCCTCCTCCTCGTCCTCCTCGACCCTCCTTCTCCTCCCCCTCCTCCCCCTCCTCGTCCTCCTCCTCTTCCTCCTCTTCCTCCTCCTCCTCCCTCTCCTCATCCTCATTCCTCCTCCTCCTCCTTCTCCAGAAGTGGTTGCACTTTCTCGGGTCCAATAGTTTCCCTTTTACGAGTCGACTGGCAATTGCACATTACGAATGCAGCTCTCCTCTCTCCCCTGGCTCTGCGGGGGAAGATATTCGGCCTTCTCCGCGTACTGCTTGCTTGCGCACAGGTCTTAAAACTGTGTTTGTTTCCCATGTGTTTTAATACGAGATTTTTGGGCGTTTCAACAAGGTGCTCCCCCTGCAGCGTGGGTATCATTTTCGGATCGGCGCTCTCGCCCCAGCGCGGGCCACTTTTCTGGATCCGACTCCTTTTTCATCGTTGTCGCACTCCTCATTTGCCCTCCTGCGCCTGCCCATGGCCACCCTGCTCCTCCCGCTCCTTTCACTCCAGTTCCTGCTGCTGTTCGTCCTCGTCCTCCTCCTTCCTCATCCTCCTTCCTCCTCCTCCTCCTTTTCCTCCTGCTCATCCTCGTGTTCACCCGCCACCGCCTCCTCCTATGTATGCAGCTCCCCCTCTCCGGCTGCGCATCACAGCATGGGGCCTTCTTGCTGAAGTTCCAGGCCGGTTGTTGCACGCCGTGCGTCATGTCTTTCATCCCAGCCTGAGACCACCATGCCTTGCAACATAAGAAACAATCGAAAAACAACAAATCAGCGCAATGGGCAGGGAGGGAAGGGATACAGTCGGGGCCCTGAATAAGGAACCCTTTTTCGTTGGGGAGGGGCTCGGTGTTCCTTGATTGTTCTGCAGTTTGTCTCCGGTTTTCCTGAGGTTTTCCGTGGGAAATCGAAGTTCAACTTGTGGGAGAAAGGGGCCTCGTTCCTCATTTGGGGTTCCTTAGGTCAACGCCCCGACGGTAGGATGCCAGGCACGGCGTGAGCACGCCCGGCCCGGCCTCGCGCCTGTCCCGCCCTGCTCCGCCTCCTGTGGGCCGGCCCGGGGCCGCGGGGCCTCCCGAGGCCTGGTGGTCCAGGCGAGCAGGCTTGGCATCGCTCGGACGTGTGCATTTTTCTTTCGGCGAGGGCCATCGAGGAGCATCCTTGATGATTCGGCGAAAAAGCCACGCACGAAACCGAAAAAAAGCACAGGGAATGGACGTCCGAGCGATGCCCAGCAGGCAGGAGCGAGAAATTCGTATGCGAGGGCAACACCTCCCCTTTTCCTCCACCTCCTGCCGATCGTCCCCCTTCCCCTCCCCCCCTGCCCGCAGGACGAGCAAAGAGAAGAGCGTACCGCGACAGTGAGGCTGGCTGGGGCAGGGATCCTTCGAGTGCCGGGAATAAATTGGTTTCAACCTTCCCTGCCTGCTCCCCCACTTGCGGTTCGCCCTCTTCTCTCCTCTGCCTTCTCGATTTGTTTCCCTTCTCTCTTACCTCTACTCTGTCCTCCCTTCTTCCCTCTCTCTTCTCCCTTGTCCTTTTCCTGCTCTCCCTTCTTCCTTATTCCAGACGCTCCGCGTAAGCCCACCAGCAATGAGGTTCATTTTGTTCCTCGCATGTGCATTCCGGCGTTGGCTTTTGGCCTGCTGGCAATTATCTTGCTTGTTGCCCCAAGTTTGTTTCGACCCGCTCTCTGGAATCGTCCTTGGAGCCGCAGATCGAAAAACGTAAGCCCACCAGCACTGGATGGTGCTCTGACGCGGATCAGCCACACCTCAGCTTCAGTAAGCCTTGGTGAGTCGGGTCACCCTCACCGCATCATCGTATGCTCGTGGAGGTACAGTGAGTCTGAGTTAGTTGCTCTGGCTCGCGCTCGCCCCCCTTTTTCCGAGGTCTTGGACGGCCTGGCTCAGTGTGCGCACGCGTGGGTTCCGTCTGGTCATTGGCCGCTCGGACTCGCGTTCTGCCCGCGGCTTATTACAGTGCCTTGCTGTCCGTCTTGGCCTCGCTTCCGATTGCGGTTCGGCTGGAGCTTGGCGCCGCAAGGGCGACTTCTCCCCTCCGTTCCGTTGCCGCCTCGTTGCCGCGCCTTCTGCTTCCCCACCAGTCGGGCTGTCTGGGCCGGTCACCAGCAGACGCTGAAATGCGTCTCAATGAGGGGCATTTTGTCCCTGGCATGTGCATGCGCTGCGTGTGTTGTCCGCTGGAATCCGCGGCAATCTCGCGCCAATTATCCACGTACCGCGCCACGGACGTTGTGCTCGCTCCATGTCCCTCGCCTTGGAGCCGCGAGCCAAAAAAAATATGCCCACCAGCCCACCTATAAACTATGCCCGGGCGAGTTGTCCTGGTCAGGGATGTGGAGACATGCGCTGAAATCCGCCGACCCCTTGGGGGTTCCTCGGCGTGTGAGATGTTCCCCCCTCCCTTGCCCCTCCCGCGGAGGCCCGGCCCGGTCGGTTTGGAGGGGTGGGGGGGGTGGGGGGCTCTGGGGGGCCCATGTGACAATGGCCCTCCGCTGTCGACGGATCAGGGGGGGGGGCGCGGGGGCCCATTTGACAGTGGGCCCCACTGTGAACGGACCCGCTGCGCGCGGGCCGGGGGCGCCTGGACTCAGGAGGGGAAAAAACACACGGACACAATTCATTTTCGATTCCCAGGAAAATATGGGAAAATATGGGAAGTGGGGGGGGGACAAGAACCCAGAAAATATTGGAACATCTTGGGGATCCGGTTATTTGTGTGTATTTATTTAATCGCTTCGCTCATTCCGCCGGCCCACATTGTATCGCTAGTGCTATATGTTTGTGTGTTCGTGGCGAGCGAGAAGAAGTTGGAGGAGGGGGAGGAGGAGGAGGAGGAGGATGAAGAGGGGAGGATGAGGACGAGGAGGCGGTCTTTCGATGGTTTCTTGGAGTATTTTTGGGGCCAACCCTGGTCGTGGACAAGACGCCTCTTTGGGAGGCTTCGTGGGGTCTCTTGGGAGGCCTCTCGGGGGCCTGTTGGAGGTGTTTTTGGGGCCTCCTGGGGCCTCTTGGGGGCCTCTTGGGGCCTCCTGGGGGCCTCTTCGGGCAAAGATGTCGAAATGCCCGTTCGGGTCCCCCGTTTGTGCCCTCTCTTGGAGCCGTCTTGGGGGTGTATTGGGCCGTCTTGGAGGCCTCTTGGGCAGTCTTGGGGCCATCTTGGGCCGTTTGGGGGCCTCTTGGAGAGCTCTCGGGCCGTCTTGGGGCGGTCTTGGGGGCCTCTTGGGGCGTCTTGGAGCGTCGGAAGCTGAAAATGCGAGAACGCCAAAAACCTTCAAAAACCAATGGAAAATCAACGATTGTTGCTTCTTGGGGCCCTTTTTGGAGGCCTATTAGATGCTTCTTGGGCCATCTTGGAGGCCTCTTGGGCCGTCTGGAGGCCATCTTGGGCGTCGTGGAGCGATCTTCGGGCGTCTGGGGCCCCTCTTGGACCATATTTGGGGCCTTTTGGGGCCCTCTTGGGGCGATCTGGAGCCCTCTTGGGCTCCGAAACAGAATTCCGGCATCTCTGACCCCTAGTCTGCCGGGGATCTGCCGGGGATCGCCCGGGGTACTTTTCGCTCGGGGACCCCCACGGGCCGCCCTGCGCGCGCGAACTAGAAATACTGTTTACCTGTTACCGGAGATCTTAGCACGCCCTGGCCCGTTGGGCCGGCGAATTTGGGTGTCCCAAGGCCCCTTCATGGACGCCCGTTTGACAGTGGGCCCCACTGCCAAGCGGGCTCGGAACGGGCGGTCGGGAGGGGTGGGCGGCCAGGGGGGCCACTTGACAGCGGGCCGTACTGTCAACGGGCTCACAGTGCGCGGTCGCCTGGGGGGGGGTGCGTCCTGGTGGTCCACTTGCGACGGATCCCTTCCGTCGGGCCTCCCAGGGCCTCCCAGGAGCCACGGAAGTGGCGACAGTTTCGCAACTCGCAGCCTCCCAAGGATGGCGAGAACATGCCTCCATGGATGAGCTGGGGCGAGAACCGCATATTCGAAACGAGGTGCGTCCTGGTGGTCCACTGTTGCCAATTTCTAATACGAAGGCGCCCAGCGTTAAGGCGAGAACCATGTGTTTGAAACGGCACGATCGCCATCCGTGATACTGCTGCAGAAATACAGGTTCAGGACCATGGCTGGGGAAGACATCTCAGGCGAAACACCCGCCCCACCCTGCCGACACGCCTTGGGATGCGGCAGGGAGGAGTTATATTCAGGAAGAAGCAAGGGGCGTGAAGAAAGAACTTGGAGAAGATGAGGAGGACGAGGAGGAGGAGGAGGGGTAGGAGGGAGAAGGGGAGGGCTCAAGATGCCAGATGTCAAGGGAGGACGCCCACTGTGCGTCACGGATATTTATTCATAACCACCGCATGCGGGATCGGGAACCAGGAATTTCTACAGCCGACGACTCTGATTATGCACGATCGGTAACGTTACCTGGGGGGAAGGGGGAGAGGAGGGGCTGTCCGGGTAACGACCGGTACGCGCCAAAGGATCGACAAAAACAATCTCCCAAAATCTGGGGCATGCGCGGACGCCCAGCGATCACCTTGCATTGGTTTTTAATGGAGGGCGGCGGGGGCCGGCATGTTGCTTGCTGCCTGCAGAGCCAACGCCTCCCCAACACCTCTTGCAAAACAACAGTCGGAAGTGCACTTTGCACCAGGAGCTGGACTGTGCGCGGGCGCCACTCTGGCAGGGGCGTCGGGGGTGTGGGGCGGCATGGTGCCTGCGGCGTGCAGGCCCCAGCACCCCTTTCAACAGAAAGTGCGAGGTTCACTTTGCCAGGGACGGCACGGGGGGGGGCAAGCTGCCTGCTGCAGGCTGCGTGCTTTGTCTGCAGAGTGATTGCGGGTGTCCGCCCACAAGCACTTCACAATGGTCGCACACCTGCCGTCCGCGTGCATTTGAATTTGACCGGGGTGGTGGGGGGTCAACATATCGCCCAGTGTGGCGTTTCTGGTGCACGTGGCGCCACTGGCACGTGCGGCACGCCCCCGGGCTGGGCCTCGCGCATCGGTTCCCGACGGTTGTCGATGGCGGCCCGTGCCTGTACTGAGCCTCGGATGCTACCCAAAAAGGAATTATCGAGTAAGGCCGTCACACAACTAGCACACGTATGCGAACCAATATTGTTTTTTTGTAATCGCCAGAAACGAACGGTCTTGCGGGCGCTCCCCCTCCATCCTCACCCTTTCCCTCTTTTCGATGATGTCTCTCCCCGAAGGGCTAGTGGAACGAGGCAATGGGGGAGGGAGGTTAGGGAAAGTGGGGACGCCTGAGGTAAGAGGGCGAGGGAGGAATGCGATGGAGGAGTGGGACGGATGAGCGGGGAGGGAGGAGGAATCGGAGAAGGGTGCAGGAATTGGGAGGAGGGAGTAGCGGGATGGAGGAGTGGGAGGAGGGAGGAGGGAGGGAGGGAGGGAGGGAGGGACGGAGCGAGGGAAGGAGGGAGGGAGGGAAGGATGGATGGAGGGAGGAGGAGGAGGAGCAGGAGGAAGAGGATGATCAGGAGGAGCAAAGGGAGGAACAGGTGAGGAGGAGGAGGAGGAGGAGGAAGAAGAAGAGGAGGAGGAGGAGGAGGAGGAGGAGGAGGGAGGAATGGGATGGCGGAGTGGGGAGGCCCTGCCCCACGGGCGCTCGGCCGGGCTGGCCGCCGCATGCCCGAGGCGCCAGGGTTCGGCCGTTGGTGACGACGACCGCGCGGGAGCTGAACGCGACGACCGCCGCGGGAAGAGGCGCGCCCCGCGGGCCGGGAAGGGCTGGCCGGAAGGGGGGCCGTCGTGGGACCCGGACGCGGCGCCAGCGCTGCGGACCCGCCCAAAGGCGCGCTGACGCGCGGCCGGAAGCGCTCGGGGGTGGACAGACCTCTTACCCTGGCACGTCGATTAAGGAATTGGCCGTTTTCGTTTCGCGAGAGGGCGTCGCGGCCGCTATTTTGCGGGTCCAGGTCCGTCGGTTTCGGTCCCAGGACGTTTTCATTAAGGGGAGGTCTATTAAAGGGAGGTTTGTCCACCGCCGAAGCGCGCGCCCGCGAGGAGATGGCGGGGTCATCGTCAGTACGTCGTTTGGCTGGTCCCCATCCTCGCCAGGCCATGGCATCTCAGCGGTTACAAGGCAACCCCAGAGATGGACGGGGCAAGCCCGGATGTTAAAGACAAGCAGGAAATAACAGGTGGGAAACCCGTGCATTTTCTGGGGAAGGTCCGCATTTTTTGGAAAAGCCCGGAATTTCGACAAACCCGGACATTGGAAAAACAAAGCGGGGAATTCGAAAACCCATGCCGGAAAAGCTCTCGGGGAAAACCGGGAAATGGACGGAAGTGAAGATTTGGGGAGTCGTGCTGGGGCGGCTGGGGCGGAGGTTGGTATGTAAAGGAAGCGTGGGTTGAGGAGGAAGGGGGGAGCGAGGATGGAGGCGGGCGGAGGAGGGGGGGGGGCAGGAGGGAGGATCGAGGAGGGAGCAGGATGAGGTGGAAGATGCCGATACCGATATTGCTCGTGGAGTTCTGGTCAGCTCAGCCTTGCCACTTGAACGAAGCTTAAACGGATCACTCGAACTCTGAGGGGTCCCTCCAAAGAGCCGAGCACTTTGTTTCGCCAGCGCGCTCGGCACGGGGCCGCCCTGCCCCCACAGCTGGCACCCTGACGGGGAACCTCCCTCCCTCCCTCCCTCCCCCTCCCTCCCTCCCCCTCCCTCCCTCCCCCCTCCCTCCCTCCCTCCCTCCCTCCTCCTCCTCCTCCTCCTCCTCCTCCTCCTCCTCCTCCTCCTCCTCCTCCTCCTCCTCCTCCCTCCTCCCTCCTCGTCCTCCTTCTCCTCCTCCTCCTCCTCGTCCTCCTCCTCCTCCTCCCAGGGCTACGGGTCTTCCCACGACCCCTGGGCAACCCATCGTCCAGGAAGACTTACCATGGGAGCCTCTCGCTCCCTCGGCCTGGACCCCGCAGAGTTTGCATCCAGTCGTGGCAGCCGACCTGAATTCATTAAAGCCTGGAGCCGAGCACTCTGGAGGAGGGGGGCCGGGATGTTCGAGTGAAGGCCCTGTTGAGCCAGGAAAGCGGGTTCACGTGTGACCGATCCGCGGGCGCTGTGGTTCACTGAACCCGTCGTGCCCACCCTACCTCCAGATCCTCACTCCAGAGGGCCGCGGGGGGCGGCCCCCACCTTCCTCACTCCGCCGAGCTGGTTCACTACAATCTGGAAGTAAAGAGCCTGGAACTTCATCAGGTCTGCGCTCCTCTCTCCACTCACGTCGAGGGCTGTGAGATCCGGCGACCTCTCGGCAGCGGACCCGCGGGGCCTCTCTTCTGCTTCCACTGGAAATGCGGCACCAGGGCCCCGATCTGTTTTTCGGCGAGAGGCTCACTGTGCTTTCCTCGCAGAACTCTTGCACGGGTCCGACGGCTTCTGCTGGCCACGGCATCCTGTTCGGCGCATCACACCAGGAATGCGCAGGCTATGTGCACTTGCGGCGGGCCCCTGGCTTCGAAATCTGCCACCTCTCCGTCTGCCTCGGCCTTTTCTTGCCCTCGCTGTTGCAGGCCTCGCCCGCGCCCGCGAGCGCGGCCCCGAGCCCCTTCTCCCCGCCCTCGGCCTCCGCCTCGTACGTCGCACACGCCGTGCTGTATAGAGCTGCGACCACTCCTGCTGTTCATGAGGACCAGTCGTGTGAGAAGCCGAACGGGTTCTTTCAGCACCGACTCGCCTCCCTTGGCCACCACCTTGGCCTCCTTCCTTTGCGCGCTCTGACTCTTTGGCAACCAAGGGCGAGGCCGCCCTCTTCAGCCACGAGGGGGACTCGAGGCCAGGCACGGCGTTCAACTTTGGCGGCCGCTGGGAGGACTTCACAAGGTACATGCTGTTTGAGCATATGGTTACGGAGCGACGTAGCATTGTCCGCCGTCTCGGCACACATGGGGCAGACGAGAGACGTGGGTTCACGAAGCGGGCGGAACGTCGTGCTATCTTTCGTCGGGCAAATTTATTTCTCGAGACCGATCGACAAGTGTCTAGATGCCGTGATACGTGTTTGAAATATGCCACACCATAGAATACACTGGTTCATGTACGCCAAGACGTGTGCTAATGAACGTACACGGTGAACGGCACGTTTATGATTTAGGAGTTGCGCCCTTGAACCTCCACCCACGCACATACCCAAGGTTCGGCATCTTCGCGAGCTTCTGGGGGCTCAGGAATGCTGTATACACTATCAGCTCCAGGAGGGGAGATCTGAACACGTAAGGCTCGACCTCGGATCTCGGCGAAATCGATTCGCACGAAAGCTGCCGCCCCCTAGACGGGTCGTCGATCAACTCGCAGGCTCGCAAGAAGTCGTGTCCTGCATCCTTTTAGTACACGGAGAGGCGCATTCTGTCAGGGTCCCGCTCGAGGTGCAAGGGGCCAGCAACAACGTCATGCATTATATGTTGCCGAAGAGGGCCGCGAGCTCCTGAGTGTGCTCATTTGGCCTCCTCGCCCACCCGTGGTACCATCGAAGATCACGAACGAGGAGTTCCGTGTCGGATGGGGCCAAATTTCCAATGCCTCAAGGTCTCGGAAGTGTTCCAGGAACGGACATGCTCGGGTCCCTCGGACTTCGCGTTTCCCTTCAAGGCCACCCTCCCGAAGTACGCCAACTTATTATCGATCTGCTGCACCTGGGACTTAGTCACAAGCATGGGCTCGAGACCGCTCAGGAGGGCGTTCTGGGCCAGGCTTATGAGGAGGCCTTCTTTGAACTTCCGTGGAATAGACAATTGCCAGACCCCTCCCAAGCTCCAGAAGGCACTGTTCGCCGCAGACATCCTAAACTCTACTTCCATCCCGGTGCGTCCATCCAAAGAAACCCGAGGCCCAAGGTAGTTGGTTTCCTGCTGCAGAGTGCCTCCGAGGACCCGTGGGATATTTTTGTTAAAGCCACCTCTTGCAAGCAGCTGCCTGCGGTCCGTGTACGGCTGCCATGAACTCCTTCTTTGAGGCGTTCTGAGCATAGCCGACGGTCGCCAGCGCATTGTTGAGCTCGCGGTCGGACCCGGACAGCTGCTGAATGAAGGGAGACAACCAGCGCGCGTTTGGCGCCACATCGAACTTCCACAAGCCATCTGCAAATTTCCGAGGAGCCAAGTCCACACGTCCTCCATTCCAACGGCAATTCAGCGAAGTGCTGGAGTCTGGGCGTAACTTTTCCAACCATGCGTGAATCGGATTCTGAAACGTACCTTGAAATGATCTGACTGTGAACGGGTCGCCCCTCAAACCTCCTTATCCCGTCCTCACGAAGAGTTGCCGATCCGAAATCGGGAGAGACATGGTCGCTTCTGTAGACCTCTGAACTGCAACATTTCTGTCACCCCTGCGGGCGTACTTCTCCGCCGTCTCAGATAAGATCTCCCAATCTACAAATTCAAACGCATTCGACAAGTCTTTCAGAGGGAACAGCACTGGCAGAGATGCGGTTTGTGTGCATCCATCCTTTACGGCACGGGGCGCCGGCCCAGAGGCGTGGATCGGGACGTGCTTCGCGGACTCCTTATATGCAGATGGTCTTGGATTGCATGACAAATTGTTTCAGACATATTGGACGGAATGGTCGTGCTCCTTTGCATTGGCAGACGAGCGAAGGGCGTGCATTACGTAAGTCGAACAAGCCGGGCCCACCTGGTAAGAAAGTTTTGCATGTATTCCCGACGCTCGGCAAGATGTGCTTCGCGGATGTCCTTCGTGTACCAGCGGACCTGTTCGATCACGGATTTGTTGGATCGCGACGTCGTGAAGGTGCGTTTCCTGGGGTGCAGGGTGCAGGTAATGAGTTGGCGATTGGACGTGCACGTCTTCGAAGAGCCCTCCGCGATCGAAGCGCCACTCGCTCGACATCCTCATCCGCCGAGCACTCGCGGGTCCTCGTCAACGGGGCCGTGACTTGGTTGAGCTGCTGCGGCAACCATTCCTCCCACGATATTTCTACGGTTCTCATACCTCCTTATGAGGTGGGAGAGGGAGGAGGAAGGATGGTGGGAGGAGGCAAGAGGGAGGAGGGAGGAGAAGGAAGGGGAGGCGGGAGGAAATGGGAGGAGTGAGGAGGGATGAGGTGTGTACGAGTCGTGGGAAGACAAGCGAGGGTGTGGAGGATGAGGAGGAGGAGGATGAAGAGGAGGATGAGGAGAAGGAGGAGGGAGGAGGAGGAAGATGAGGAACGGGAGGAGGAGGAGGAGGAAGGAGGAGGAGGGAGGAGGAGGAGGAGGAGGAGGAGGAGTATGAGGAGGAGTATGAGGAGGAGGAGGAGGAGGAGGAGGAGGAGGAGGAGGAGGAGTATGAGTAGGAGCAAGAGGAGGAGTGGGGAGGAGGAGGAGGAGGAGGAGGAGGAGGGAGGAGGAGGAGGAGGTGGGATGATCGGAAGGAGGACGAGGAGGACAGGGAGGAGCGAGGAGCGAGGAGAAGAGGTGGAGGACCAACGCCAAGGGGAGGGAGGCGGGCGCGCGGGCGGCATAGCGGGCGACCGGGCAAGGCGGGCGGGTGCGCGCGGGCGGGCGGGCGAGAAGGCGGGCGGGTGCGCGCTGGAGGGCGTGTGGGCTGCCGCGCTCGCGGGCGGGCATCATTTTCGTCGTCGTCGTCGTGATTGTCGTCGTCGTCGTCGTGATTGTCGTCGTCGTCGTCGTCGTCGTCGTCGTCGTCGTCGTCGTCATTGTCGTCATTGTCGTCGTGATTGTCGTCGTCGATGGAGTCTTCGTCGTCGTCTTAGTCGTCGTCGTCGTCGTCGTCGTCGTCGTCGTCGTCCGTATCGTCATCGCCGCCGCCGCCGCCATCGTCGTCGTCGTTGTCGTCGTCGTCGTTATTTCGTTCGTTTCCGAGCCACGTGCCGAGTAGACTATGGTGTTCGCCTCCGCGGCGTTGCCACGTCGACTGCAATAGAGTAGTTTTTGTTGTTCGTTGTGCGGCTTTGCCACGTGGCGCGCAAAGGCGTATCGTATGTTGATCGCCGGCCTGTCGCTGCCCCGTTGCGAATGGAGCGGCGCTGTATGTGTTCCCGCCCCTGGCGTTGTCCCTTGGCGAATAACATGAAGTATCTGGTTTCGCCCCCCAGGCGTGGCCACGTGCCGAGTAGAGTGAGATCGTATGTGTTTGTCCCGCGTGACATTCTCTTGTGATGAGCAGAGTGGAGTTGTGCTTCCTGTTCGCCCCCTGTGCCGTTGCCACGTGGCAAGTGGAGCGAGATAGTATGTCTGTCTGCCTCTTAGACCGTGCCACTCGGCGATGCCATGTGACCAGTAGAGTGGAGCAGCAGTTGTTCCCGCCCCGCTTGGTTGCCACGTGCCGAGTAGAGTTGAGTAAGTTAGTTTCGCCCCGCAGGCGCTGCGACGTGGAGAGTACAGTGGAGTAGAATTCGCTTCCCCCTCTGAGCGCTGCCACGTGGCTAGAAGAGGGGACCAGTGCTTGTTTCGCTCCCCCGGCGTTGCCACGTGGCGAGTAGAGTGACATAATGTTTGTTCCGCCCCGCAGGCGTTGCCACGTGGCCAGGCGTGGAGTGGAGTAGTTGTTGTTTCGCCCGCCCCCCCCGTCGCTTCCACCTGGCAGCTCGAGTGGAATGTGGTTGTCCGCCCCGCAGGCGTTGCCACGTCGCGAGGAGATTGGAGTAGCATAGTTGTCGCTCCCCAAGCGCTTTGCCACTTGGCGAGTCGAGTGGGATAGTTTTACCGTTCGCGCTGCAGGCGTTGCCGCGCACCGAGTAGATGGACGAGGGAGAAGAGAGAAGGAGGGCGGAGCGAGGAGGAAGGGGGAGGAGGAGGGAGGAGGCAGGAGGGAGGAGGGAGGAGGGAGCAGGAGCAAAAGCAGGAGAAGGAAGAGGAGGAGGAGGAGGTGGAGGAGGAAGAGGAGGGCGAGGAGGAAGAGGAGGAGGAGGAGGAGGAAAAAGGGAGAGAAGGGAGGAGGGAGGAGGCAGGAGGCAGGAGCCAGGAGGGAAGAGGGGAGGAGAAGGGGGAGGAGGCAAGCGGCAGGAGGAGGAGGAGGAGAGAGGAGGGATGAGAGGAGGGTCGGAGGCGTGGGAGGATAGTCGAGGAGGTGTGGGAGGAGGAGGAGGAGGAGGACGAGGAGGAGGAGGGGAGAGGAGGGCGAGGTGGCAGGCTCGGAAGGAGGACGAGGACAATGAGAAGGAGCGAGGAGAAGAGGGGGAGGACGAACCAGGAGATGGAGGAGGGGTTGGAGGAGGAGGAGGAGGGAAAGTCATGCAGCACAGTGCAATGCAACGCATCTTGCGACTGCGCCAAAAAGAAATGACGGATGCTGGGTTTCAGGGTGTACATCCTAGGGGGGAGGACGAGGAGCAGGAGGAGGAGGACGAGGAGGAGGACCAGTTTAAACCCAAGAGTCATCAATGATGTTGGCATAAAGCCTCCCTCCAAGCTTCCTCTTCATAGGCCCCTACAAGGGTTCATTTCCACTGAGGGAACTGCCTCGTCGGGGACAACCTTTTGAAGACCCTGAAGCATGCCAAAACATTCTTCTCTGGAGTCCAACGCCACGGATCAACTTGACTGTTGCGTCTTGACGATCCTGAACCGTGCCAAAACGCCATTCCTGGGACTTCAACACCGCGAATCAACGTAATTGTTGACACTCAGAATGTTGAACCTTCCACAGACATAATTTACGCTAAGTTGTTCATGAGAATCCGTGAGGCTTCTGCAATTTTTGAGAAAGGAATGTGCGTGGCGCTGTGGCGAGAGCCACATTTTGGAATCGAGCCGCACTCATTCAGTGAATCTCTTGCACATGTGTAAACGAATGCGCGCGGCGCTATGGCGAGAGCCACATTTTGAAAACGACCCGCCTTCCATCCGTGAAGCTCAAAACGAATGCGTGCGGCGCCAAGGCGAGAGTTACATTTTGAAAACGACCCGCTCCCAATCCGTGAATATCTTGCAATGTGTTTACGTAAATTAATGTGCGCGGCGTCAAGGCAAGAACCACATTTTGAACACCACCCGCCTTCCATGTGCGAAACTGTTGCCATTTTGAAAACTCTACGGCCTTAAATGGTGAGGAAGTCTCGGGCGAAACGCCTGGCCCGCCCTTTCGACCAGCCTCGGGGTGCGACAGGGAGAAGCTATTTGTAGGGATAAGGAATGGAGGAGGAGGACGAGGAGGAGGAGGAGGAGGACGAGGAGGAGCAGGAGGATGTCGGTTCTCACGACACTGGGTTGAGGAAATCGATGGCACAGTAGCGGAAGGAGGGGAGGATGAGGAAGGGGAGAAGGAAGGACATCGCCGGCGCAGTGGAGGAGGGTGAGGGTGATGGGGAAGGAGTTCTCCCGCCGACCGCCAAATCGCCTGGGCGCGGCTTGGTGGCCGCCTCAGGGGAGCCAGTGAGGGAGGAGGGTGATAGAGGTAGAGGAGGCGGGAACGAGCGAGAGGCGGAGGAGGAGGTAGAAGAGGTGGAGCAGGAGGTGAAAGAGGAGGATCATGAGTGACTGAATGACTACTTAGATTAATAATAACACGACGAATCATATTATGCATATACACATGGTAGTATCGATGGTAAGACGAATGCGAGTACTAATCACAATGACCATACGACAAATATTACGTATAGTATCCTTAATATTAATACTACGACGGAGTAAGACAACACATACTAATACTACGAGCTCGAATACTCATAGTATTATGTAGGAGAACAATAATGCTAATACTAATGCTGATGCCAATAATAGTAATAACGCGAATAACGACTCATACGAATACTATTGCCTATACTACCAAGAAGAAGACGAACAATACGAATCCGAATAAGACCACAGATAGTAATACCAATAATAATATAACTAAGGATGGTACGACGAAGAATAATCATCGTACGCATACTAGTAAGAACAATCGTATTCTGACTAAAACCAAGGCGAATCATCGTACGACCACCAAGAATAATTGCACAACTTCGAAGAAGGCGAATCCGAATACTATTCCGAATACTTAGATTCCGAATGCGAACATGCCTAACCACAACACGAATAACAATGGTACTAGCAGTAATAATAGTACCCCCAGTACGAATACCACTAGTCTTGCCAATCTTGATACACCATACGAATGACTGTAATGAGAAACTACTGCGAACCCTGAGAGTACTACTCAAACGCTAGTAATAAGGAACCACTAATGCGAAAACTATTACTACGTCGAAGAAAAAGAAGAAGCGGAGGCGGAGGAAGAGGCGGAGGAGGAGGAGGAAGAGTAGGAGGAGGGGGGGTAGGGGAAGGGGGGGGATGAGCAGGAGGGACTGGGCGGAGGAGGAGGAGGAACACAGCAGGAGGAGGACAATGGAGGAAAGAAGGAGGAGGAGGCGGAGGAGGAGGAGGAGGAGGAGGAGGAGGAGGAGGAGGAGGAGGAGGAGGAGGAGGGAGGAGGAGTGATGAGGGAGGAGGGAGGAGGAGGAGGAGGAGGAGGAGGAGGAGGAGGAGGAGAGGAGGGAGGAGGAGGAGGAAGGAGAGAGGGGGGGAGGAAGGTGGAGGAGGGAGGGAGGGAGGAGGAGGAAGAGAGGAGGAGAAGGCGGAGCGGATGGGAGGAGGAGGGGGGAAAGAAGAGGGGAGGGAGGAAAGGAGGTGGAGTGATGATATAGGAGGTACAATATTGGATTTAGGAGGAGGTGGAGGAGGAGGAGGAGCAGGATCAAGGGATGAATGGACGGGGGGATGGTGGGATAGGAGGTTGGAGAGATGGATCGAGGGGTGGATGGATGGAGGGAGGTAGGGAGGAGGTAGAGGAGGATGAGGATGCGAATAAGCATGTGAGTGACGCGGAGGAGGAGAAGGAGGAGGAGGAGGAGGAGGAGGAGGAGGAGAAGGAGGATGAGGAAGAGGAGGAGGTGGCGGAGGAGGAGGAGGAGTGCTGAAGAGAGGAGGGAGGGAGGGATGGCGGCAGGAGGAGGGAGGTGGAGTGGGAGGGAGGAGGAGGAGGAGGAGGAGGAGAGGAGGGCAGGAGATGATGAGGATCGAGAGATGATGATGAGGAAGAGGCGGAGGAGGGAGGAGGAGGAGGAGGAGGAGGAGGAGGGGAAGGAGGAGGAGGGAGGAGGGGGGGGGGAGGACACGAGGAGGGGCGGAGGAGAAGTGGAGGAGGAGGAGAGGAGGAGGAGGAGAGGGAGGAGGGAGGTAGGAGGAGGGAGGGAGGAGAGGAGGAGGAGGAGGAGGAGGAGGAGGAGGAGATGGGGGACGTGAGAGCAGGCGAGGGGGGCAGGGAAGGGACGAGGGAAGGGAAGAGGGCGGGGGAGGAAGACGTCGCGCGCCCGCGCCCCTCTAGGCGTGACGGCGGCGACGAGGCCGTGAGGCGCGATCACTCGGACGATCACCGCGCGAAAAGGCGCGCCCCGCCCTTGAAATGCCAAGTGCCCCCCCTTGTTTTTTTTCTCTCTCTCTCTCTCTCTCTCTCCCTTTCTCTCCCTCTCTCCCTCTCTCCCTCTCTTTTTCTCTGTTTCTATTTTTCCTCTCTCCCTCTCTTTCCCTCTCTCCCACTCTCTCTCTCTCTCTCTCTCCCTTTCTCTTCTACCTCTCCCCCTCCTTTCTGCCAGGGGGCTGGTTATACGCGACGGGGCTGGCCTGGGCGAGGGCTGGGCGCACAGGCGGCAGGAAGTCTTCCTGGTCCTCGGCCCTCCCGTGGCCGGGCACGTCGGCCGCCCTGTCCCTCTTCTCCCCCCTCCTGTGATGGGCCTATTTTTCCCGGAAAGGGCTCAGGCCCAGGGTTCTCTTTTAGTATGTAAACATAGTCCCCCGTGCCCAACTTGAAGGAGGCCGGCGGATTCTTTCCCTGATAAATATCGAGGTCGAAGGAGGCCGGCGGATTAAAATTTGAGGATGTCTCAGGCGAAACGCTTGTTTTTGAAATCCCGATCGATAAATCACAGGGTGCGGGCCACCTCAGCACGACCACACCCTCAGCACGACCACACCCCAGCACGACCACACCCCAGCACGACCACACCCCAGCACGACCACCCCCCAGCACGACCACCCCCAGCACGACCACCCCCAGCACGACCACGCCCCAGCACGACCACCCCCAGCACGACCACACCCCAGCACGACCACACCCCAGCACGACCACACCCCAGCACGACCCACCCCAGCACGACCACGCCCCACACGACACCCCAGCACGACCACACCCCAGCACGACCACACCCCAGCACGACCCGATCGATAAATCACAGGGTGCGGACCACCCCAGCACGACCACACCCCAGCACGACCCCACCCCAGCACGACCCCACCCCAGCACGACCACGCCCCAGCACGACCACACCCCAGCACGCCCCAGCACGACCCCCCCCAGCACGACCCCACCCTAGCACGACCACACCCCAGCACGCACGACCACACCCCAGCACGACCCCACCCCAGCACGACCACACCCCAGCACGACCACACCCCAGCACGACCACACCCCAGCACGACCACACCCCAGCACGACCCTACCCCAGCAAGACCACACCCCAGCACGACCACACCCCAGCACGACCTCACCACAGCACGACCACACCCCAGCACGACCACACCCCACGCACGCCCCCAGCCACGCCCCAGCACGCCACCACCCCAGCACGACCACGCCCCAGCACGACCACGCACCACCCCCCAGCACGACCACCCCCCAGCACGACCACCCCCCAGCACGACCACGCCCCAGCACCCACGCACGACCACACCCAGTCGCACCCCCGTGGAATGTTTCGTGGGGTGTCTGGTTGAGTGGTTGCCTGTTCGTGGGGTGTCTCGTGGAGTGTTTCACGGGGTGTCTCGTGGAATGTTTCGTGAGGTGTCTCGTGGAATGTTTCGTGAGGTGTCTCGTGGGATGTTTCGCGGAGTGTCTCGTGGGATGTTTCGTGAGGTGTCGCCCAGTCGGGTATCGTGAAAACGTGACCATGCTTCACATGTCTATATCCCTTTCCGGGTTCGTGGGTCCATCATGTTTCCACCACCACCATCATACGTTGGAGGGGGAGTGGGTCTTCCTCCTCCTCCTCGTCGTCGTCCTCCTCCTCCTCCCTCCAGGTGGCTCCCCAGTGGCCCCCGCCCCCGCCCCCGCGCAGCCATTTGCCCCGCGGCGGGGCGGGCGGGTCCGCGCCATAGGGGGGACGCCCCCAGCCCCGACGGGGCGCCGCGAGCAGCGCTCCCGCTCGCCAGTCTGGCACCGCCGCCTCAGACAGAGGCGGGCGACGGCTCGCAGGCGGCTCCGCGCGGAGAAGGACCTGCTCATCCTCGAGATGCACCGCGGCAGCCAGGCGCCCACGACATGGGCCACCTGCAAGCGCTGCAAAGAGTGGTCGTGGCACTCGACGCTCGAGAAGAACGACTACTGGTGCAGCTGCGGAGCCCGCGTCGCCAGGCCCAAGAAGGGAGGCGGCCACGACTCCAGCAGCGGCAGCGGACGGTGGCGACAGCAACCCATCGGCAACAGCGGAGGCGCGAGCTCAGCTGCTGGAGGCCGAGGTCGCTGGCAGGACAACGCCGCCGCCTCCCCCGCCCCCCCCACCGAGCAGGGCGTCGCCAAGCTCGCCACAGCGCTGCGGACGGTGACAGAGTCCATCGGCACGCTGAAGCTGGCCAACGGCGAGGACATCGCGAAGCAGCTGACGCACGCGGCCGACGCGCTCAACGTCCCCGAGAAGAAGAAGCCGCCCAAGTCCAAGGCGGTGCGCCTAGCGGAGGCAGCGAAGGCGCTCGACTCCGCGACCCGCACCTACAAGTAGGCGTACGAGCAGAAGGTGCTGGCCGAAGCGAAGGCGACTTAAGGCCCGCGAGAGGTTGCAGGAGAGCGCGGACGCAGTCGTCAGCGCCGAGGCCGAGATCGAGGCCATCCAGAACGAGGGCAAGCAGAAGGCGCCGAAGAGCATCCTCGAACAGCTGCTGGACACGGACGCCGACCTGCTCTCGCCCAGCGACGTGCAGATCGCCGAGGTCGAGGCCGAGTTCCGCCAGGACGAAAACCTCGACGCCGAGGGCAAGAAGGCCGTGGGCGAGGCCAAGAGACAGGTGCTCGAGCAGCTGCAGCGCAACACCAGGAAGTTCGCGGGCCAGCTGAAGCAGCACCTCCAGGCCGCCAAGACCAAGGCCGAGCAGGAGCGGGCCGAGATCCAGCAGGCCTACAAGAAGCGGAAGGCGGATCAGCATGCGACGGGACAGGCCGCAGACGCGCCGACCGCAGGCGCTTCTGGATCTGCGGCCCAGCACGACAGCAAGGTACCAACCGCTGCGGAGGACAACCTCCAACAGCGGCGGGGCGCGGCGGCCTCAGCCGAGGCCTCCGCATCCCGCTGAGGGTCAGGGCGCGGTGGGAGACGGCAGTTTGGCGACGACTCCCACCACGAGCGCCACATATTTAGCGCCAGCGTCACGACCTGGGGCCCCGCGGTGTTGAGCTGGCCAAGACGAGACGGAGTGCGGCAGCCCTACGACGTCTACGCCATCCAGGAGACCCGCCTGCCCCAGGCCCAGCTCGCGGACACGGAGCACTCTCTGCAGTGGATGGGCTTCTCAGCAGTGTTCACCGCGGCGCGCGCCAGCACGAGCAGCCCCAGTGGAACTTGCGGAGGCACGGGGGTCCGCACCAAGGGCCACCCCAAGGCAACGACACACCGACATCCGGGAGAGCGTACCAACGTCTCGGACGCCACCACCTACGACGCCGGCGACACCCGCGCCACTTACCGCATGTGCGACTGGACGCCAGTCACTCTGCACCTGCGAGGCTCCCAGCTCCTCATCATCTCCCTCTACCTCGACCCGTGTCATTCCCTCGACTTCGGCGAGAACTCCAGGAAGCTGACGTCCCTGGCCGCCTTCCTCGCCGCCGCGCGCGCGCCGGGATCATCTGCGGCGACTTCAACCGCTCCTACGCCGACCTGGTGCAGTCGGGCTGGACCACAGCCCTCGGCGCCACCGCCTACGTGGGACTCGACGACAACAAGCGCGCGTGCTTCCTCGGCGACGCGAAGCCGTCCAACATCGACTACGCGCTCGTCAACGAAGGAGGACAACGACTAGTACGAGGCATACCAGTGCGCGACGCACCATGGAAGCCGCACATCGGGATCGACATCACTATTCGAGCGGACACGGACCCCAACCATGCCCGACGATTGCAGATGCCGAAGGCTTTCCCGCGCCCTGCCCCACCCACCAAGCAGCCAACCACCGCCAAACGTCAAAAGAAGAGACACCGCAAGACTCAAGCAACGACATCCCCCCCAGCTATCACTCGACCAAGACCAGACCGACGCCAGCCGCTGGGAAGCTCTTGGACAGCAAGGATGGCACCACCACCCACGAGACACCACAGCAACAACGACACCGACCCCGACATTCATACAGCAGCCGTAGCACCGACGAACCACCATGGATGGAGCAGACCAGGACCCTATGGAGGAAGACGACACTGCGGGCTACTTCGTCGAACTCGAACCCGAACACGACGGCCACTATTCTCATTATTCCCACGCCGTCATCGACAACATGCATGATTCGGAGGTGCACGCACATGTAGCAGCAGAAGCTCAAAGGGCCCACGTCAGCGACATGAACTACACCGACGACCACGAGAATTCAGCGCTGCCCAACGACCTGGACTGCGACGAGGCTCAAAGGGCTCCCGAGCAGAAACCACGACTTGAGCAGCTTGCCGAACGAGCAAACGGCACCGACACCAGGACGCTCGACGACACCTGGACCGCTGCCAGCATGCTCGACCACGGACCCACCAGCACCCCCCCCCCCCCCCCCATACATCCGACAATGCGCAGCGTGCCAAGCTGACCCGGCCAACGCAGATCAGCTAGGCGCAACCTACAAGCACTTCATCAGCACGCTCGAGACGTTCTTCTGCCTCGCCTACCACATTCCCTTGGAAGACCGACAACACTTCCGAGGACGGGGCCGAGGCTATGCATTCAAGGAACAACCGCTACGAGAACTCGGTGATCACCAACTTCGATACGCATCCCACAGATCCGACTGGTGGAGCCGCGTGGAGAACGTCCTCAGTACCCTCGCCAAACTTCGCCAACGCGAACGTGGACACCAGCAACAACTCAGCCTACAAGCAGCTGGACGCCGACTAGTACGTGAAGGACTACCACCACTCGGACGAAATGCATCACCCACCGCCCAGCTCCACCACCAGCTATGGAAAGATAGACGAATGCACTTAGACGCTCAGCCTCTACAGACCCTACAGGGCATGGCCCAACAAGCGTTCAGCGAAAAGAGCCAAGCCCTACTCACAGACCTTCGACACAACCACCGCGAGTACAGCAATTGGCTAGTCACCGCTTGCAAAACACCAGCCACCCTCCGCAAGATCACCAAGCCACCACCACGACGCGCACACGAAGTGGTACACCAGGGCAAGGTACCCAGCAGCCCGCTAGACATCGTCGACGCCAAGGCCGCCGTCTTCAGCGACATTTGGACCTGCCACGACGTGCCACACAGCCACCACACCTCACTACTTTCCGACTTTCGGCAACGAGCAGAACGGGAGGAACCACCAACGCCCAGGGCCATCGACGACCTAGACCGCTGCCTCCGCGGGGAGCCAGACAAGGGCAATGGCGTCGACGTCATCAGGTGCAGCGACGTCAGACGGCTACCACGAGCTGGACGGCAAGCCCTCGCCGACCTTTTCAACCATTGCGAACGGCACATGATGTGGCCATGTCCTTTACTGCTCTCCATCGCCATGGCCATCCCCAAGCCCAAGAGAGGCGACCGCGCGCTCGCCCTCTGGCCACAACTATCCCGCTGCTGGGAACTACTGCGCCGAGACCGAGTCCGACGATGGGCAGTGGGCCAGCAACGAGAATGGGGCGCCGCCATCGCGGGCAACAGTTGCCTACGAGAAGCACTACGCCGCCTCATCACCGACGAATGCGCCGACACCTTCAACATGACCGAGACTATCCTGCTGGCAGACATCGAGAAGTTCTACGACAGCCTCCGTATCGACAAAACTGTGCCAGCTGCGCTACGTCTACACTTCCTTGTCGGCTGCTCTACCTCATGATGCTCCAGCATTCAGCCGCTCGAGTATTACGACGCCAAGGATCCTACCTTAGGACGATCTACGCGAGCCGCTCCATCCTCGCAGGCTCCAGGCACGCCAACAACATCGCTCGCACAGTCGTGTACGCCGCCATGGCGACCCTCACCGACACCAGCATCCTACCACGACCACTACCTCGAGCATGGTTCGACTACATCAGCATCCGCATAGTAGGCAGCAGAACGTACACGACAACCGCCACCGTCGCACCCACGCATCGCCTATTCCTAGCACTACGAGAGCAGGGGCTACGCTGGCCGACAAAACTACCCTCATGACCACGCATTAGAACGACACCAAGAATATCCAGCAGCAGCTCCGCGACCTCCACATCGACGTTCAAGCAGCCACAGAAGGGCGTGACCTGGGCGCAGATCGTGCAGCACGCGGAACTACCAGACGCTCCACGCACGCGACAAGATGGGCAGCAGCACGCCGACGCCTGCGCGCAGTCCGTGGCAAACTACGACGACTCCACACCTCCGCCAAGGCCAGCCTGGTGAACTAGGGCGCGATGGCCTCCGCGAAGTACGGCGTCGCCTTCCACGGCCTGGCCCTCACCGCACTACGTGCAGCTCGACGCCAATGCGCCCAAGCCCTTCGTCGCCCTTGGCCTGGGCGCTCCCTCGCCAAATTCCTAGACCTGGAAGGGGCCGACCCCGCCTGCACTTTCGCGAGCGCGCAGTTCTCCAACTGGTTTGGATGTTGGGCGCACAGCCCAGACCTGCGTGCGCAAATCAGACGCGCCTGGCCCAGAATCGACTTCCGACTGCTCAAGGTGCTTGCTCGCCGCCGCTGGAACCAGAGACGCGGCCCCATCGCAGCCATCATCCTGGCGCTGTGGGAGCTCGGCTGGGACTCCCGCGGACCAGACCACTGGGTCGACAGCGCAGGCAACGGCTGGAAGTTCCCCCACGAAGACGCCCAAGACACCAAAGACATCCTAGACGCCATCATGCACGACGTAAGGCAGCAGCTCTGGAGGACCGCAGCGACCCACTACCACGGCGGAGGCCTCGAGCACAACGGCGCTGACACCACAGAGCTCAAGCGACACCTGCAATGGCTCCGAACACACGACAAGCACCGCGAATACGGCGCCCTCCTCACTGCTGCTTGTGCGGGAACGTGGACTCGCACTAGGCAGCAGACGACACTCGGCCATGGCAACCACCTATGCGAATGCGGGCAGCCAGACACCGACTACCACCGCATCTATGACGACATCTGCGACAAAACTGACAGGCTGCAAGCCCGCGCTGCCGCGGGGCACCAAACCATCCCAGCCTTCCGGCTCAGAGGCATCACCCCACCAGATTGGTCAGTACCACCAGACTGCGACACAGCCGAGTCAGCATCCAACATGGGCCAGTTGACCCAAGCCGGCAAGATCTGCACAAAGGACGGGACGCCCTTGGTAATCTACGGCGACGGCTCAGGCGGGGAGCACTCCTCCGACTGGCGTTACCGAAGATGCGGATGGGCTTGGCTAAGATTTGGCAGCACACACGACGGCGACTTCAACGTTACTGCAGCACGATACGGTCCACGACCCTCCCGACGACAAACGAACAACCGTGCAGAACTCTGGGCACTACTGGATGCGATCAAGCACACCACTGGCGCCAAGCACTTCTGGACTGACAGCGAAATCGCATTCAAGGGCTGGCGAGACCGACGGCGCCAACTACAGTCCCACGCGGGCAGCAACGACGACCTCTGGGAGACCATCGGCAAGGAGCTCGAGCACTGCGACGAGCAAGGACCAGCTCACATCGAAGTCCACCACATCAACAGCCACCTGACCTGGGAGGAAGCACAAGGCCGAGGATTCTCCCTACATGCATGGTTTGGAAACGCACAAGTGGATCGTCTTGCAGAGCAAGCCGCCGCAGAGCACCAACTGGACGCGGGCCAGCTCGAATGCTACCAGTGGGTCAACGCCACCGCCGCCCTCATCCGCAAGCGCATCACCGCCGCCACTATCGACGCCGTCGACCGACGCCCATCAGAAGCACACGAAGTACGCGCCGCACGACGAGCTCAGCAGCAAGGAGTACCGCAAGCAACTCATACGAAGACGAGATTATCTCGCCGGCGGACCACCACACCCAGTTGGCAGGCGCCCACTTACCACCCACAACTTGGCCAGGCCTCGACGGGGAAAGGATTGGGTGTGCACTTGCTGCGCTCAGCGCGCCGGACGAGACACCAGCTTTGCAGCAATACGAGATTGGTTCCAGCAGCAATGCACAGGACCACCACCGCGACAAGGACAAACCATTACCCAGCACGGACGCACTGCGCACGACAGCCACGAGCTGATGTTCATCCGAGCAGAATCCCGCTGGGTATGCCGCCACTGCGGTGCCTCCACCATCGAGTATGTTTCGGAGACGATGCGCACGGAATGCACACGCCGCACTGGATATCGCAGTTTACACTACAAGCTCCTGAAATGGACAGAGCTCGCCGACAATGACCAGGACGGGCACGACGACACCAGCACCGCCACCAGCCAAGAACGACGCGATCCCGCACCCGACAGCGACCAAACCAGCACAATGCCCAGCGACGGCAGCCACGAACCACCAGCGACGCAGACCATCGAACCCCCGCAGACTCCACCACCAAGGACGCAAGCCGTT